CTACAAATTTGCATCGAAGTGTTTCTTATGATAGTGATTTTGATCACTGTCAGACCATCTATACTTGTCCCACTACCCCACGACTCCACTGTGCTACCGTTTTTATGATGTATAATAGTTTCAATTACTAGTATAGATACACTTGTAATTTGTTTTAATAATTCAATTAGAAAGTATCTTCATAATATGGAAGGTCAAGTAGCATATGCTTTACAAAAAAAACTACATGCTTTTGAAAAAAGAAAAGTAAAAAAATATTTGAAAGGTAGACAAGGTACTGCAGTAGCTAAAACTTTTCATAAAGCTGGAATATATGTACCATATGATCGAAAAACAGATATTGGTTATAGACCCTTATCAGAATCAGACAGTAAGGTTCAAACATAGTATCATTTCTATATATCATTTTTAAAAAATATTTTGATTTAAAGGTGTATTACGTAAAATTTTAAAATCATATCGTGAAGCTTCTAAAAGTAAAAAAGTTGCAGAAATGGATAAATTACAACCCATAATAACTTATGCAAATATAGCCAATGATGAATGTGACTTTGGTACAGGACTAGAGTTAGGAATTGATATATTTTGTGATGGAAATTCTGAACTTCATCGTATTTGCAAACAATTGTTAGTAACTGTTTATAATCTACTTCGAAGACCACAATTTGCAACTATTATTCAAGTAATTTTTTTTTCTTATTTTCTTATAATTAAAGAAATATATAATTTTTTTTTTCTAGGCACACTTAGATAACAGAAGAAAAAATTCAAACTTGAGTATATTATAAAATTTTTGTTTTTTACCTGTGTAATTAAATTAAATAGTTTTCATCTTATATAAATGAAGAAAAACTTTTACACTTCTAAAAAAATAATATTTAGTTGTTTACATTGGTATCATAATTTATTTTCTCTCATTTATTATTATTTATTTTTGTCTACAAATAAAAAAATACAAATTTATTGTATATTACAAGCTTTAAGGGATGAATGTTATTATTCAGTAGCAAAGTTATTTGTAAATTAATTTTCTTTTTAATATTTTTATATGAACAATACTAAACTTAAGTTTATTATGATATTTATCAGGAAATAGAATTACAATGTATATTATTTATTTAAAACTTATTTGTATTTAATTAGTCTATGTATTTATGGTTTCATTTGTTGGTCAGAAACATAGAATATGATTATCAAAGATTTTCCTTATATCCTAGTAAGCTTGTACAGCACTTAATTGAAAAAAAGGACAATCAAGATTTTTACTTTTTATCCTTTTTTTTTTGTTCAATTTTTATTTATTTTTTATTTTTGCCCTCTCTAAAAGTAACTCCTCAGTGCTATATTTATGGAAAGGATCTAGATCTCCAGTTATCAAATATTTGAGTTGATTTTTCAAAAAATGCTTCCTCTCTCATAGATACCTTTTTTGGTTACCACTTTTTTATCTACAATTTAATATAAAATATTTAACTAACCAAAGTTTTAGATTAAGGATGATATTATATTGTTATTAATTGTTATATCATAATATTATATTTAATGGTTTGGCTATGTTATGAGGAGAAAAGAATCGGAAGCCGTAAGAACAGTTGTAAAAATGAATGTTGAAGGAAAAAGAGGTAGAGCAAGACCAAAAAAGATATGGAGAGATGTTATTGAATGCGATATAAGAACAGCTTATGTGAGCGTAAAGGATGTGGGAGATCGTGTCAAGTGGAAATTTAAGATAAGAATGGCAGACCCCAAGTAGTTGGAATTAAGGAAGAAGAAGAAGATAATATTATAATTATTTAGAAATGATTTAACACATAAATTGTAAGACCAAATATTTACAAAAGGCTCCAATTTTAAAAAGAGCCCATTGAGATTTCCTTAATAGTTTATCTTTAAATCTGAGTATGCATCTGACAAAAACTACCCAAAATTATATTTTAATCAAAAGAATGATAGATTTATAATACAGAAAAAAAGACATTGCATTCATTTTTATATATTTTTAGAAGTTACAGTTCATATGTTTCAAATTACATTATATTTATTATACAAAAGTTTTCACAGTCTCAATATCATTATATGTTTTGTTTTATATAATTTTTTAATAAATAAAAAAAAGAAAATATAGTGAAAATCAATAAAACAAAAATTAAAATTAAAAGAATAAAAATATCTATTGATAAATATTGAATCCAATTTAAATCTTCCGTGTATATATGTGGACCATGACCATTTCTGATAACATATTCAACCCAATATACTGCAGTATTTAATGATGTATTTTTAGGAAAATCTGATATTAACTTGGACATTTTTTCTGCATTTATTCTATAACTAAAATCGTATTGTTTTACTGTTTTTATTATAATAATTAGGAAAAAAAAAATTAAGGTAAAATCCACAAAATGTGTTGATTATAAATCAAATATTTTAAGATTAAATGTACTAAATAGTATTAATGCATGACTAACCTAGGTTGCAAAAGAACCTTAGCTAAAGCATCAAGAAGAATATTTTCATTAAGTGTATCTATCAAAATTTCTATTCCAAATCCTTTTTCTTCTGCATATTTAGTATTATAATACTGATCAACAAAAAAAGGAAATCCAATTATTGGTAATCCAAAATGTATAGCCTCTACAAGACTATGATAACCTCCATGAGTTATAAATAATCTACAGTTTTTATGATCTATAAATAATTATATTTTAATAAAGTTACAGTGATTATTGTCATAAACTTATTACTTAAAATATATTGCTGTGGAAACCATTTGGCAGTGTAAATATTTTGTGGAAGGTTATCAATACTTCCGTTTTCCCATTTCCATAATACTAATTGGGGTAGCTTTTTAAAACAATTGATAAATATTTGCACAACATTTTTTGAGAGATTTGACATTTTTATAATTGATCCAAAACTAAAATAAATCACTCCGTTGACTGCTTTGTCTAGAAGATGTGTTAATTGCTATTTAAAATAAATTATTTTAATTACTGATGAGTTGTTTTATAGCACTTTTACTAAGAAAATAATTTACTTTATGTTCTTTTTGGTTTTCATGTAATTCCGATCTTAAATGCATGCCAGCAACTGGTATGACATTAGGGGGATATGGTCTAGAATATGAGACTGAAAAATGGCTGTTTACAAAAGTTAATGCAATATTTTTCTTCAAATCTATTAATGACGAACCATTACGATGTCCTGGATATTCATACAATTGTTCTAGCATATTTTGATCGTTTATACGTAAAATATTGTTGGTTATCAGTTCAGCTATCGCCATTAAAAAATTATTTAGTCGATCCTTAAAAGACATTTTATCAGAATAATACAACCAAACAGAAGGTATATATGCTGGATTTATTGGTACTCCTAAGTAGCTACTTTGATAAGCTGTTGGTAACATGGGACTTAGGCATATTATGGGAGCTGAATATCTGTTACAAAAAAAAATAATTAAGTGCAGTAAAGATCCAGCAAAGTGAAGATGATTAACGATTGAATTTTCAAAAAAACTGTGTCGTCAGCAAGATTAATGCATAGAAGAAATATACTGAGTGCCACCATACTAATTTGAATACATAAAAAATAATATTAAAAATAGTATATCACGATAGGACACTCGGTATAAATATTGTATAGTAAGTGTTCAATAAGTAAGGAAACGGGTTTCTATTGTTCTAATTGTTCGTAACAATTTACCAGTTTCCTTACTTACTAAACATTCTATATAAGGTGGACTATACAGCGTGTTCAGTAAATAAGGAAACGAATTTCTATTGTACTCATTGTTTGTAACAATTTAACTGTTTCCTAACTTACTGAACACCTGTAGATAAATCATAATAGATTTTATCTATTCTGTGATTAATGTTTAAAATTATCAATAAAAATTTCACAATAATCCGTCCAGTATTAAAAAAGTTTTTTCAATGTAAAGTGAAAACTAAAAATATTATTACTGCTGGTTTATGACAACTATTATTTTTTGTGACATTTCCCTTATAGGAACTAAAGAGAATTATTGATGTTAAGACCTCAATATAAAGTCTGTCTTTCATTAGTAAAATTTCTGTATAATATGTACAATATATTTTAAATGTTTATATTATTAAATGACAAATATATTAGGAATAGGCGTAAATAGTGTATAGATCAAAAGTACCAAAATAAATAACTAAAATAAAATATAACCAACCTTCTTTATTTCTATTTATAGATAAACAAGTATATATAACATTATATAGATGGATTACTTACATTTTTTCCTACCACTGTAGTACTTTAACTATAATTGTTGAAATCAAAACATATTACTATATTTAAAGTGAAATACTTATACTAAATCGATGATATTGAACACTCACAATATTAAAAGACAATATTTAAAATAAACAGCAATTATTTGAAGTATTATTTTAGTTTTCCTTACAAAATTTAAAAAAAATAGTGAAATCTGCTATGGGGTACTAATGCCATAATGGGTGATAAGTAGCTAAAGTGCCCCTTATTTGCGCCAATGATATTTAATAGGATTGAGTAAGTGACGCCATTTAATTTTTTTCGAAGTGAGCGAACTTTTAAACAAATACTCGTTTTATGCATAACATTTTTCATTAATGAATTTTTTAGTTAGAATATTTATAATGCTTTGAAGAAAACTTTATTATTTTTTCATAAGCCACTGTAAATTAGGGTGAACCACCACCCACACTGCGGTCCCTTAGATGACATCACAGTTTAAGTTTTAATGTTATTACTTAATATGTGTCGATTGATATTAAGATATTTGACACATATTAAATAAATTCAAAAACAATTATCAGGTTACCCTACTAAAAATGAGTCTACTGATCTTCATTAAAATCCTACAAGGAAAAATATAAATATTGTTTATTATATTATATTGTATAATTTGACGCATTAAGTTGATATCAGCTTTAAGCTCATCCATAAAACTTTACCTTTCACCAATTGCTAAAAAAACATCGTTGTACCAACATTCAATTAATACCAAGTCAAATTCATTTTTTGTATCATTTAAAAATAATTTTATTTCGTTTAATTCTAATGTATGTTTAACCATTTTCATCATGTTTAGTTTTACATTTATCATATTGAATAATCGATACATATTTCTAATTTTCATATGATCTATATTTTTTCTTGCATTAGGAGTGTACACTAAAAACATTACAACATAGTTAATTTATTATATGTAAAGCATAAACAATGCCTATTAAATAGTGGTCTCATTTAAAAGTTAAGCTCTGAATTTCACAATTTTTTTAATCCGTATTTGAAAACGGGGTTTAATTTGTAATTAAAAAATTTGACACCTAGGAATAAAATAGACAAAATGCTGACTATTTATCTTATTGTCATAGGCATTTTTAACCTCCCGTACTCTCATAAACTAACACAGTGTATTAAATTTCATATTACTCTAATTATTGAAATAATTTTAATATTATCTAATTCATACCATTAGAAGTAGGAATATACTTATAAGTGGACGGCATTGGATCATTTGGCGTAAAAGGACTAACTACGGTAACATTGTGGTTTCTATTGGCCAATTCCTCAAATAATATTTTAAAGCCAGAGTAATGACTGTAAATTGGCAAAGGAAAAAAAGCTAATATATTTGCGGATTGAATCTTCTGTATTAATGTACATTCCAGTAAAATGAGAATAAAGCTCTGAAATTGAAAACGTTATAAGTATTTTTAAAAACATTAATTAAATGTATTAACTCACGTAATAATTCATTTTATTAATTTTTATCTATAATACAAAAAAATGATTTGAAATCATAATGTGATGCCAATTAATAATAATTTTGTTTACTAACAACATTAAAACATTTATTTCATTATGCAAAAAATGTAAAATAAAACGACGAGCACCACTTAAAGTGCCTAAAATAATAAATAATCCAGCATTTAATTTTACTAATATTAAATTATGTAATAAAATAATTTTTTTTATGAATGTTACCTAACATTTATAAAGTTATAATATTTAAATCATAAGTATCGTATTATGAGATTGTTGTGTAACTTTTTTTTTATTTCAGTCTATTTAATCATTTTTAACCTTTTTAGACCCAGATTTTTTGTTAAAATGACTTGTAATTCATTTTTGTTGGAAGATAATCCTAAGATAATCTGAAACCCCATTTTTAAAAAAAAAATCTATTTTTAGCATTTTAACACAACAGTGTATTAAGGGTCTGAAAGTGTTAAACAAAATTTCTATTAACAAGTAATGACAAGTGTGAATAGTTTTTAAGAAATAAATTTTTTTTTAATGTAGTTAATTTATTTAGGATTTTGATTTAATAGAAAAAAAAGAATATTAGACAGTGACGTGACTCATCAGGGCCTCCTCAGGCAGTTGTCCTAATACGCAATTAAAAGGGTGGCCTTGAGACATTAGGAGATATTTTTATGCATATTATAAGTATTAGAAATTAGAAATTTTTTTCGTGATAACCTGAAATTTTTTTTTTTAACAAAAAAATTTTTGGAGTATCTATACAAATTTCCCTAGGGCCTTGAAACCTTTAATATGCCACTGCCTACCTCGTAGCGTGTAAGTTTATAAATTCTTAATTTAATATGTCACATAGTTTTTAATATGTTTACCATAAAAATTTCAAATATGATCTTAAAATTTTCCTAACTTACTAATCCTAAGGTTTTGATTTTCAAAAATGACATCTAAACACACAAAATGTAAATTTTTAGCTACAACTAAAATAATGTGCACTCATTTATGTCAATATTAGTAAGTAACAAAGTAATCCGTAAGGGGCTTTTATGCTAGCTAGGATTTACTGCTATATGTAATTGATTTTGAGAAATATAGGTAATTTTCAAAATCAATAATTCATGTTACCCTATAATGAAATTTTTTAGCATTACCAAATATAAACCAGATTAAAAATTAGTTTTTATTTAATATATAACATATTTATGCACTGTTTCAGGAATATAGATGAAAATGTTATATATTTTACAAAGACTTTGTAGGTTATAAATAAGCATTATTACATATTTAATGATTCATTATGAAATTTAAATGAGATATGTATAATAATTATTCCTATGTAAATTGTATTATATAGTGTATGTGTTATTTTAATTGAATTTTAATATACAAATAATACATTATAATTTTAGTTTATTTGTATATATAATTTAATCGTTGAGAAGTTAATATTAAAAGCTAAGGTAGTTGTTATCATCGACGCATTAAAAAAGGAAAAAATTATCAATTTAAATTTATCACATATTGACTTACCAAGAAGTGTTCGCTCCGTTAACAATCCACGCAGTACTTTTACAAAACCGGTCTGTGGTGGTCTATTTCAAGGTAATTATATTTATTCACCACAAAATATAAACGTGTTTTCATTAAGGCTGTGTAATAATTATAGGTTTAATTATTTTATACCAAATATAACAGTAATTCTTATAAGCGTCTTTTTAGAGCTGAATTATAATTGAGTTTTAAAATGTCCGGTCAAATTGAAAACATAAAATCAGCTGTAAAAGAAGCATTGTATGATGAATCGAAACCATGGACCAATCTTTTTGCATGGGCTGAAGTACAAACTGGTGTCAATCGATTAAATTTATTCTTAGGTAATATACATGTATTTATGATAATATATTAAGTATTATTAAATATGTTTACATTATATATCACTAGAAATATTTTACTTCTTTCTTATAAATTATTAAGTATTAACTGTCCAAGTTTAAACTTGTTAATAATATTATAAAGGCATAATAATCCTATGTGGATTTTTTCTATTTTTGATTATATCAGAAAACATTAAAACAGCGTTGCAGTATTTTATTATCAAAAAACCCACACTACCTTTATTGTATGCATTGTAAAATAATTCTTAATACCTTTTTTTGTGATAAAAATAGTATTATTTTACTCATATTTTTTTTTTGTCTAAGTATAACAATAAAATTACAATTATATTTTAAAAGTATTCCTTAATTTGGATTAATTTTTTGTAATATTTGACAATAATTCTTTTAATCATACAATTTTTTTCTAATAAAAGTTATATTATTAAAAGTCAACTTAAATAATGTAAATAATTTAGTGCTTTAATATTTATTGATAAAAGTTAAATTAAATTCTAGGGTTAACAGTTTTTACTGTATTTTATTTGGTAATTGGTTATGGAACTTTGTTATTAAGCAATTTTATTGGTTTCTTATATCCTGCGTATGCATCAATTAAAGCAGTTGAATCACATTCTAAGGATGATGACACTAAATGGTTGACTTATTGGGTGGTATTTTCATTTGTTACTATTGTTGAGTTTCCGGCTCAGTGTATTCTTAGTTGGATACCATTTTATTCATTAGTAAAGGTTAGTTTAATTTGCTAACAATATTATATAAAAAATAAAGTATTATAAAATTAACATTATTTGCATCGCTAATTCAATGATATAATGTAACTTTTTCAATCAATTTTATTAAAGTATAATGAAATTGAAAAAAAAAACATTATGTTTGCTATTTCTGATAGTTTACTATTAAAAAGTATGTATTTATCAAGGTATCGATTCATTAATTATCAAATTACTTTAAGATAACAATTATTATTCTTTATCATATACTTAATGACCTATATGACTAATAAATATTTAGTAACCAAAATGTCATCAATAACAAATTTGATAATTTTATTTAAATTTTTATACATTTTTATTTTAACCCAGCAAATAACAATAAAATAATAACTTGGGAAATATTATGTAATTAATTGCTAATTATAATATTTCCCATATCATCTATGCACACATCAGCTGTCCTCATATCACATTTAATAACATCCCACCATCTCTTTTATGCTATTCTTCTACCTCAACATTCATTTCCATAACTGTCCTTACAGTTTCCGATTTATTTTTCCTCATAAAATGTCCAAATCATCTAAGTCTATTTTCTCTAATCTTAACTACAATTTACGCTACACCTATACTCCCTCTTATATGTTTGTTTCTTATCCTATCTTCTCTAGTTACTCCAAACATTTATCTAAGCATTCTCATTTCTGCTGCACTCGATTTTTGCTTTATTCTTTTGTCAACCGCCCAACACTCTGAACCATACATTGTAGCTGGTCTCACTACTACTTATAGAACTTACCTTTTAGTTTCATTAAAATTCTCCTCTATCAAAATAACCAGATTCTTCTCTCCATTTCACCCATCCACACTTAATCCTTTGTCTTACATTTTTGTTGAAACCACCGTTCTTTTGCACAAATGATCCTAAATACTTAAAACTTTTCATCCCTCTTGTAACGTCCTTGCTTATTATCACTGATCTTCTCATTTCACTTACCTCGTGTTCTCCTTTGTCAAACTCGTACTCTATATACTGTGTCTTACTCCTATATATTCTTAATCCTGTTCTTTCAAAAGCTGATTTCTACACCTCTAGCCTTTTATTAATTTTCTCCTATTAACACTATATCATCAGAAAACAACATATGGCTATGGTACCTTTCCTTGAATTTCTTTAGTAATTTCATCCATCACTATAGAAAATAAGTTAGGGCTCAATGCAGAATCTTTGTGCACTCTTACTCTTACCTTAAAACCTTCTGTTACTCCTTTCATACTCTTTGCCCGGGTATAAGTCCAATAACTATCACCTATTATATCAATATACCTTTCAGGACTGCTTTTCTCATTAATGCCCACTTTAAAACTCCTTTCAGTACTCTATCGTATGCTTTCTCAACATCTATAGATACCATACACAGCTTTTCCCTCTTTTCCCTAAACTTTTGTATTATTTGCCAGATAATATGTTTCTACTCTCTAGGCCAGGCCGACCCCTATATGCTTTCATAATAATTTATAATAATAAATAAATAAATATTTATATATTATAGTATTAAATTCATAACAATACACTAATAATAACACTTTAATATGAGTAATATATTATACACTAATGAAATGTTTTATGAATATTTTGATAATTTTAGCATGCTGAATATTGAGTAAATAAACTCCTATTTTGCTCCATATGCAAACTTTGCTGTGCTAACCCATATATAAATTATAAAACTGTTATTCTAATAGTATCAAAACTAAAAATTGCCAATATACTTAAGAAACAAACTATCTTTTGTATTTATCATAAAAATTTACTATAACTTAATATTTTTAATTATAATAAAGTTTATTATTTATTATTTCTTATCATTTTTTTCAGACTATTTTCTTTGTTTGGTGTTACATACCAATTCATAATAATGGTTCCATTGTTATGTATAATAGATTTATTCGTCCATATTTTTTAAAGCATCAAAGTGATATTGATCAAGCAGTCAATGATTTATCTAAGAAAGGTATGGTATTTAAATAATTTATTTTATTTAAATCAGTACTGTAAGTAAAAATTAATTTTGAGGTTATGGAGAGTAACCAAACTTTCTATAGATAAAAAAAAAAATACTAAATATTCAATTAAAATTCTAATTAATATGTATTATTGATTGTTAAAATGAAAAGACTTAATTTTGCACAAACATGGTTATAAGAGTTTATAACATTGAGTTTCCTTAATGTTGGGAATATTAATATTTTAAAAAATCTATTGGACATTTTTATTAGTTACAAATAAAAAAGTATGTTATAAATCTAAAGAAACTGATCTATTACCAATCAAGCATAAAGAAAGTTGGAGAAATTAAATGAGAAAAAAGGTTATTAATAGATTGTGCTCATTAATTAATTGAGAATTTAAAAAAATTACGCAATATAGAAAAGTAGTATCGAGCATTAAAAAAAAAAATGTGAAATATATCCATTTTTCAATATGTTAATTTGTTATAAATTTTTAATTAATTGATATCATGTTTTATGATTAAAGTGCTAATTATACTTTTATTTAAAAAAATTTCATAAATTGAAAACTTACTATAAAATATTTTTTATAGCTGCTGAGGTAGCTGCTGATAAAATACTTGACAAGAAAAACTAAATTACAGGAATTAAAAAAATATATGTTACAACTTGTACAGATTTATGAATTTTAAAAGGTAAATAAACTATTATTTCAATTACTGGGTGTTTTAATATGTCTTTGATTTACAAAATATGGATTGATATAAAAACTATTAAATTAAATACTTTAAAAGAATTATATTATTCTTAAAAATTTCTTTTTCTTTATGAAAAATAATTTGTATTTACATTTTCTTATTTATTTTTATTTAGTACATTTTTAATAATATTATTTTGATTTTCTAATTAATTTTTTTTAGGTTAAAGTAAAGATTATATTATGTTTTTTATTATACATGGAAAAACAATGTCCTCACAAGTTGGATTTAGCCATTAGTCTAGCTTTTGTTTACTAGTGATTATATTGTTTTGTTATAATTGTAATTGTATTTTAATTCTTCATAATAAAGTTATTTTTAAAAATATTGTTACATGTGTATTAATATTTGATTAATTGAAAAAATAATTTAAGAACAAAATATTTTAGCTTCGATGCAAAGCTGAGAATGTATTAATTTTACTATGATGTGTTTTTTATTGTGTCTGTTACCATTTTTTTTTCAGCTCTAACCCAATCGATTTGAAGACAATACCCTCAAAAATTGAAAAAAATTTCCTCGTTCCCATAATTGGGGAAAATCTTAAAAAAAAATAACAAATTAAAAAATTGCTAATTTTTTGACATTTTTTCAATTGTTTTTACTTAAAACTGACATAACTAAGCTAATTTATTATACTTTATTATGGAAAAAAAAATTTTGGAATTTATTTTGTCTTAACAGCGAAAATGGTTACCGTATTTTTGTGTTAAAATTATCGATTTTATATGTTACATTTTTAAAAAATGTAAGGATGATTATAATCTTTTATGATAACTACTATTAATATACTTCTTTTATGCGTTATACTTTTTTTTTTGATCGGACCATTTCCCTTTATACAGAGGGGTTCAAAACTTAAAAATGCATATAGAAAGTAAAACTTTTTCAACTTAATTTTTGAAAACGTTGCGGAAATACTGACACTTTTATAAATATCTTAAATCAAAACTTATGTAATATACATAGATATTAAAAAAAAAATCGGACTTTAATTTGTGTTTATGGTAAAAATGGCTATCGTATTCAAAAATATGCTATTTTTGTGTTAACATTCTCGATTTTGTATTTTATTTTATATTAATTACCTTACAAAAGTTTTTGACTTAGAAAAAATGTTTTAACTTATTTGATTTTCATCTATTAGATTCAATAACTTTTATATATAACAAGGACCTCATCACTGTAGTCTCCCCTCGTTTGAAGAAATTTCTTAATCATATTAAAATTATTTTACTATGTGATTTTTTTTTGTTTATTTTCTCAACTCTCACCTGACCAACTTTTAAAGATACATCAAATGATCACAACTTTTATCTAATTAAAGATATTACCTTTAAAAATTAAAAAAAATTCCACTGTATCTATAAAAAATTTACTTAGCTCACATTCTCCATATAGACAATTAAAATCATTCATTTTTAATTTTTTTAAAGTATTTATTGTCGAGTTAGGTTTGATATGATAATATATAAAATTGAATAATAAAAGTAAATTTTGGTTCTGATGAAATTGTTTTGCAGACCATATATTTATAATTAACAACAAATTATTATCTAAAAAGTTTTGTGTTAAGCCATTCAATTTTTTTACACGTTTGCCATAAAAGTAATAACTTCTTTAAAATTTTTTATAAATACTACGAAAAAATTAATATTCTAAATTATTAAATATTAATCTCATACTAATTCATTTGCTATAATAAATATTTATTTATTTATTATACTTCTAAATCAAAAAATTACTAGTCAGGAGTAATAAAGGAAATAGGAATTAATTTGCTTTTGGTGTAATCCATCAACTTCTTAAAATTAAACACTATCTACTGTAATAACTAAAAATAAAGTTGATGGGGGTGGTATTAATAAAAAAGAATGATAATGGTATCATCTGTAAAGATATAATAGATACAAGTACTTTGTTTCTAGTTATTACTTTATTAGTGTAGTTAGTGTATTAAAACTACTCTCACTTGATATTCACTGATGGTGATAGAATCTTGATTGTAGATTTATGGTTATTAAGAATGTTGTTAAAATTTATAGTAGATATGTTAATGAAAGAGAATTGTATTTGGTTAATAAAAGCGTATTTATTATTATAGAAAGTGTTAATTATTTTAACAAATGTATAGTTTAGATTTAGTGACAAAAGTTAAGTCTATAGAAACACAGTATAAAGAATATGCTAAAGTACGTAGGAAATAATCTTAAAGGTTTAACTTGATAAAAGTGATTATTAAGTGAGAAAAATGAGAGAGTGACTGATTGGAAAAACAGTGTCTTCAGCCTTTATAGAATGTACCACAAAAGTCATAAACAGGGATTGGGCGTCTTGAATATACTTATATATATTTGTTTTTAACTTTGTGTAACCATCGAAATCACGTCCGCTTACTTAGTTCAACATGTTTTGTAATTGTCTTTATCATTAATAAACGGCTTTACGATATCTTCTGTTCTGTAAAACCGGTGTCGTCTATTTATCGTGCTTACGACATGAGTCGTAACATGGTGTGGGTATGTATAATTATTTACATATTCCAACTTAATATGGTTCTCGATTATGTTGGAGTTTACTTGTTGTTTGCTATCAAGTAGTATCTTCATCTGTGTCTTATTAATATTCATATTGTATTCTTGTTTAAGTGTGTTATTTATTTCTTGAAGCATTCCTTTTAGGTTTTGTTTGCTGTTTGCTATCATAGCAATTCATATGCGTATCGCAGCATCTGAACTAGCATTTCACCCACCAATCATAACCCTTTTATATCTTTATCTTTCAGATTTTTTAACGTATACTCAATGTATAAGTTAAATAATGTGAATGATAAGTTACACCCTTATCTTATCTTTTTTTGCCTCTTCATATGCGTCATATTCATCTTTTACCACAATTTTTTCATTAATATATAATTTATATATTAGTCTTTTGTCTTTAAAGCCTATACCTATCTTATTTTAGCCATAATATGAAAAAAAATTTTCCCATGTAACGTTTTCAAATGCCTTGTTCAAATCTATAATAGCTATATAAATATGGGTTTATTTATTCTAAATATTTTGTCTATGTTAAGCCATAAGATACAGAATTGCAAATTGGCCACCTTGTGTTCTTGTGTTATATTTATTTTATAACTGGTAACAGGAATTTACACAATTTTTGTCCATCATTGCTGTTTTAAGCAACGCGGGTAATTATAATAATATTTAAAATAATGTAATAAAATCAATTTTTCAATTTAAAAACCCAGCACAAGGGGGTCGCGGCACAGTGGTGACGTAGCATAGATGGATCAAGTGTAATGATATCTGACANGGCACAGTGGTGACGTGGCATAGTTGGATCAAGTATAATGATATCTGACAGTGATTAAAATCACTATAAAAAAAAAACGCTTCGATGCAAATCTTTAGATAGTGTTTAATTTTAAAAAATTGGTGATGTTTGTATACGATTATCGTTTGTGATAATGGTGGGATCAGTTAGTTGCTCGTTATACGCTGCGCCGGTAACATTGCCGGACCGATTCGCGACGTAATAATTGTTACTATAAATAATTTTTCATTATAATAAAATAAAATCTAGAAATACAGTCCACTCTTTTTTATTATTTAAATAACGAGTTGCTCAAACAGGTGGATTATTCCAAAAGCTACATGATCTGCTAGTTCATTATTAATATCCTAATTAAGATAAAGTATGTAGAATGAAAAAGGGATTATTAAAAAATATTATTTCTCATAAAAAAATAATGTTGATCCATACACTTTTCAATATGTCATAGCATAATAAAGTTAAAAATGGANCATTTTTCAAAAAGTTATAGCATAATAAAGTTAAAAATGGAAAATACAAAATCGAAAATTTTCACACAAAAATAGCATTCGGTAGCCATTTTCACCATGAAGATAAGATAAAGTCCGAAATTTTTTTTTTCATGATAAAGCATATTACATTAACATTAATTTAAGATATATATAATAGTGTCAGACTTTCCGGAAGACTTTCAAAATTTAAGTTGAAAAAGTAAATTTTTTGTGAAAAAGTTGTCATTTTAAATCCCTCCCTGCGGACAGGTAAAGGGTCAGATATGAAAAAATAATATACCAAATGATAGGTAAAGACATCATGCATCTATAAAAAATCCATACATCTTTCAAAAAGTTATAGCATTATAAAGTTAAAAATATAAAAAAGAATTTTTTTACAAAAATCGTATTTTTTTTATTAAGTTTGATATCTGTTTTCACCATGAAGATAAAATAAAGTCCGAAATTTTTTTTACCATAATAAAGTATATTACATTAACATTAATTTAAGATATATATAAAAGTGTCAGACTTTCCGGAAAACTTTCAAAAGTTAAGTTAAAAAAGTTCTACTTTCTACATGCATTTTTTAGATTTGAACCCCCCTCGTATATAGGGAAATGGTCCGATTTAAAAAAACAGTATGCCGAATGAAAGATGTATATAAACACTACTTCTCATGAAATAATTGTATTGATCCATACATTTTTCAAATAGTTATAGCATAATAAAATTAAAAATATAAAAAATAAAATCGAAAATTTTCACACAAAAATAGCATTCGGTAGCCATTTTTACCGTGAAGATAAAATAATAATCGACTAGATACGATTTGTGATCTTTTGACGTATCATTGAAAGAAATCGGTTCGGTGAGAGCTGAGAAAAAGTGGTAACAGACACACACAAAAAAAAAACACATCTTAGTAAAACCAATACCTTCTCAGCTTCGCATCGAAGCTAATAAATTATTATTATTGTTTGGCTAATACCAAAGAGTAAATATTTTTCTTGAACAATGATATTATGAACAACAAAAACTGATAATAAGATCTAATTATTGCAGTAGTTGTTTGCTTTATACTTATAATATTTTTATATTATATATATATAATTACGAATTATACAAGTATAAATGTCAAAATATTGTAATATTTTTACATTTAATAAATTGAACTACATCGCACAAATATTCTATATAAGATGTTAAATGTTTACTATGAGAAATTGCTAAAGAAAAAAATTGCGCTTTAGAAGTTTTTTTGTCGAAATCATTTAAGAGTCTACAATGCCGTTCAATCTACAATTGTCATGGGAAATGAGCCATGAATTTCTGTTAATACTATAATAGAATAACATGTATATAGGATATATTTCTATATAAATATTATACTATTGAATATACTACAAAATCATTGTCACTGGTATTAGTTAACTTTCAATTCCCTCGTCGATATTTTTATTTCCTTAAAAATATTTTAGCTATATTTTAAGCAAATGAGGAACTCAATAAATTTGCCATCTATAGAAATAATTTTCTAGAATTTTTAAAACCCTTAGTTTATTATTAAGCTGTTATTATCTTCCAATAACTATTTTTAATTATTATGTAAAATTATAATAATTATGGTACTCATTACATGGGTATTATCTAGGGATTTTCACTAAGTGAATTATTTTTCATTTACAGGCATATTATTTTGATAATTAAATGATAAAAATTTATCAGTTTGATTAACTGGTAGGGTAACTATCATCAATTATCCAATTAAGGTTTTTTCTAGAGAATGGAAATGTGCTGGGTTTAACGCCCTTAAAGCCAAATTAGGCATACCCTTTCCAAGTATAACTGTATTTAAATTGTTAATTTTTTAATTATATCTATTATAAAGAGTTCCTTAGGGCATTTGCTCTCTTTCCCACTTGATATAACTATATGCACATAACTAGGTGGCTGCTGTTGTTTAATTTTGTTGTGCTTTTATATTTAAAAATTTATAATTTTATTTTAAGTAAGCAGTTTTATTCAAAAATATGTTGAAATGAAATCAACATTGATCTTTAAGAGTTTTGGCACAATAAATGAGAATAATAATAATTTGAAAAAAGAAATATTCTTTTATGCTAAAAAATTAGGTTATTGTAAGATAAGATTGGTCAAAAATTCAGAGAATTGTTTTTTGTATTTTTTTTAAATACTCAATACCAAAGTAACTAAAGAATGTAAGAAACATCGGATTCCTAGAGAGTTGTTTCAGTAATCACCGGTTATATACATGTTTTATTTTAAAATTGAAGTAAAAATTCGGGCGCATTATAAAAAACATTGGGAAATCAATAGTTTAATCATTTGAAACTTTTTGTGGTGAAATCTATCACATTAAAATATTTTTATTTTAATGTTTCACCATAATACTTTTTTAACTTACGACTTTGAATGCCATCCTTGTACAGGAGTTATGCTAATATTATTCTTGTTATAATCTTGTTACAAGTTCAATGAATTTAAAATTACTTTAATAGTTTCATTACATGGTAATATATAGATTGCTCAGTAGTAAAGAAACGGATTTTTATTGTTCTTGTTATTTTTAAAAATTAAACTGTTTTCTTACTTTTTGAATATTCTGTATTTATATTTATAAAGCTAATTTTTTTTAACGCTAGTTTCTCTTAAAATAATAATCATAAATCATTTTTGTATTTTATAGTTTCATATATTTTTCAATTTATCAGTTATAAGTTACTTTTTTTAATTATTCATTGTACTTTATAATAATATCAACTTTATAGTTTTAAATGGCAACATATATATTTAACTAGCATATAAATTAAAAAATGATCTAATTAAGAATTTGTCAGATTAATAAAACTTTTTGACCCTATATTTCAGGAGTTATTAACTTTTTTTTTACTTTGGCAGAAGAAGAGATGTAGTCAATAGATGTCTAATGATAAATATTGTCTTTTCACATTTTACCTCTAGTCTATATTTAAAATTGTAATAATTTATGAAATAATGAATCAAATGTTGTTATCAATCAATCATTTTGTTAACTAGATTATTTTTATTTTATAAGATAGGATTTTTTTTATATTAGTCATCAGCATGAAAACTTACCTATTAAAAAAAATGTTTGATAAAAATTATATAGCCCGTAATGTAGATTTATGTTAATATTAATGCAGCTGTATTACTTCACTACATATTATTTTAAGGTAATTCTGCTGTAATAAGTCTGTATAATTCTTAATTAAAATCATGTGTGCTTCTTTGAGTTCAAATACAAATTTTGGTATTACTGATTAATGAGTAAAGATTTTAATGTGTCTAAAGTTGAGAGTATTATTATGATACAAGTGAGGAGTATAAGCACGAGCTCTACAATGTTGTTAAGTTCAGCATTTCGGACGAGCTTTTCAGTGAAACCTTAATAGTCATTCGTGTTTCAAACGTTGCGTCATGAATTTCTTAACTTTTATTATATACTTAATATTTATTTGTAATACTTATAAAGCATGGTCAATGAGTTATGATCAACTTAAAGGTTAGTAAATTTACAGTTATGACAATTACAAAATAATCACTTTACTTTATCTATTTAGATACTGTTTAAAAATACATTTAAATAGATTATAATTAAAAGCAGTAAATATAATTATTGAAGAATCAGCCGAAATTAAAATAGTAAAAGTTAGATGAAATTGTTAGAGTGGGTTAAATTACTAAATCTAATTTTAAGATATTTTGATTTTAATTAAAAACATTTAAACATTTTTTTATTCGATTTTTAATTCTTATACTTTATAAACTTTATAAAGTATTTCACAAATTTAAATGAAAAATAATGTACAATTTAATCTCTTTCACGGTAGAAATATTTTTTCGTGAAAGTAGTAATTTCAACAATTATTTTTACCACTAACGAAATACACCGGTTACCACCTAATATACAAAATATTTTTTGTGAAGTTAAAAGTTAACGTCAATAAGTATACATATATGTATTTAGATTTTGCGTATGACAAATAATTTTTCAGTTAATAACTAATTTTCATACCCAAATCCAGTTGATAAAACATAATTTGTATAATTTTTGTGACTTTTTATTTATAATTAGTTGAATAACTAAATGACAAAGTTATATTGGTAAAGTATTAATATAACAATCATATTAAACAATAAATAATACATAATGTTATTTTTAATGTCTTTAAAAATAATTTTAATTGCTTAAATATACTCAATAACATATAAGTAATTATTTCAAGAACTATATGCGATTGAAAAAACGATAAAATGGCTGTATTGTCTAATTAATTAAGATTATTTCAGATTTAAAAGAATCGGACATTTTAATAACTTGATCGTAAAAATGAGTAGCATAGGGTCTAAAGTAATGGCTTCGAGCCTTGAATATACTTATCCCAGTAAACAATGTATTTATTATTGTTTTAAATTTTTTATTTAATGTATTTGTTTTAATATAATGATAATTTATTTTACAATAAAAATATGTAATTATTTCAAGTTAACAATAGGATTTCATAAATTAATAAAGTATGACTTTTTTTGAAATTAGATGAAAATATGAAATAATTTATAAAATTTTATAAAAATCACAATGCTAACAAATCTGGTTTTAAATATTATTCTTTAAAGGAGTTAAAATTTACGAAAATTTAGGTTGTTCTATAATATTTAGTTCTCAAAACTACTTTGTTCGTAAGATTTCTATCCATCATTTTACAGTTTTTTTTTATATTTTAAGTATAAAAAGTTTCCAAAATATACACTCTATTTAAACTTTTTATCTTTTTACTTTATCTAATGAAAATATATTTCCATAACTGGTCGTAAAATATGAGTTCTCCACTTAAGTTAATGATATTTTAACAAATTATCATTTATGGTAACATTGAAGTAAAATATTAATATATATATATATATTTATAATGTTCTTAGTTCATAGAGATGTGCGTAATAAATGATTTCGTACATTTTTTCCTGTCATTGTAAATTATTTTTAAGACGTGTAAAAAACTGACACTTTTTATTCGAGTCCCTTGTTTTACATACAGGTATTCATATTTTCTATTTTAATCGTATTTTTTATGAATATTTTCTTTGTTTAGATATAGTCTATAAATATACAGAATGTCTTAGATCTAACTTATAATTTTTATATTTTTTGGTCCCATTCCGCTGTAATTTTCATAAAACAATTTTTGTATTCTGATACTACGTTAAAAGCTAATTTTTTGTGATTTGTCTATAATAAGAAAACATTTTTTTTAATTTTTGTAAAACTTTAAATTATTCATTTTTATAAAAATTTTGATAGATAAATAACAATTTTAAAAATATTACTTATTGGGTTAAAAAGTTTTAAAACATGGAGTGGCTTTCGAGTAATTGCTGAGTACACGGCCTTCTTTTTTAGGACTGTGCTTTTACTCAGTACTCGATATTTTTCCTAGCCTTACCTTAAAAAAATTATGATGTCATGTAAAAATATTTTTTATCATAGTTTATTATAGCTCTAACCCAATGCTTTGTTATTATTATCGTATTTACATTGTATCATTCATTTAATTGTATCATTGAATAGATACAAATGATATTTTATTTTCTGTTAATCACAAAAATTATTTGTGTATATAAATAGCTGATAAGATAACACTCTGTAAAGTCATATTTATTATGCCTGCGAATATTTATCTTCTTGTCACTCAGCGGAAGTAGCGCTCAAAAGTAGTGTTGTATTGTGTTTAATAAAATTATTAACGGAGAAAAAGATGAAATATTTTATTAACATATAATCAAATAATAAAAATGTTTCTTGAATTAATTTAATTTTAATGAGATTCAATAATAATATTTTGATTATAATATAGCTATTATTTCAATTAATACTTAAATTGACTTAGTAAAAGGTTTTTTCTAAATTATCTAAACAAAATAATAATGGAGAATTTGAATGCATATCTAGGGTGAACAAATTTTAAGGCCAAATGTCATTTTCTCCCTCTTTATAAAATCTTCTTTTTCCTCACTTTAATTCCAACTACTTGAGGTCGGCCACTCTTATCATAAATTTCCTTCCTTAAAAATATTTTTTTTAAATTTACACATGATTTTTTTTTTTAGAGGAGCAAAATCCAAATAAGAGGTTTTTAGCCTTCCACTCTATATCTATCCTTTGGTTTTAACTTAAATGTAGTAATTTAATACTTTAAAAGAAATAAGTATAGAGAAGAAATAGCTATATTTCTCATAATTTATAGTATTAAGAAATCTTAATTTGGAGGAAGTCAAAATTTCTCTATAAAGTCCAAAAAAGTTAATTAAACTCCACGTAAAATTCCAACTGAGCTCCAACTAAAATAAATTAATACCTTACTTATTAATAATGTATTACTTAGAACTTCACAGTAGTAAGAAGTATATTCTAAAAACCAGCGTTTGAAGTGTCGTATTATAAATGGAAGGGTACGCTTCAAATTTGTTTTACTTTGATATTATTATTGGTTAGCAAATGTTAAACAATAATCAGTAGCAATCAAATAATTTTGCCATGGGATAAGATAAATAACCTTTATGATAAAAATCATCACGAGAGCTGTGCACCCATATCCCAGAGCTATTTTGTGTTAATATATATTATAGTACCTTTTTAGGACTCCTTTTCTAATTAATGCCCATTAAAAAAACCTTTCACGGTACTCTATTATACGTTATTTTCCAAATCTATAAATACCATACAAAACTTTTTCTTTTCCCAATACTTTTCTATTAGTTATCTCACACAAAATTATGGTTCCATTGTTGACTTATCAGGCATAAATCCAAACTGGTTTTTAGATACCGATGCCTCATATCTTATTCTCTTACGTTTTCAAAATTTTCGTACTATGATTCATAAGCTTTATTTCTCTATAATTTTCACACTCCTGTATGTCTCCTTTACCTTTAAATATCGGTTCCTTCAACCATCTTATGCCAACACTGCCTAATATTTTCTATACTTCTACTTACCCTACAGTTTTATTCTTTATCATTGATGTCACAGCCTCTCATACCTATTTCTCACTATTTAAATCTACCAGTCCCTCGTTCAACGAGATATCCTCTACAGTAATTTTTCAAAACACTCTTTTCGCTACCATATTACTAGGTATTCTTTACATCACCTTATTCATCTCTCCAAAACACTTTTATTGTCTATTTTATTACGCCCTACTTGTAGTACATAAACATTTATTATATTAGGGTGGTCCTTATTTTACGAATTTCGACATTTTTCTTCGGGACACGCTTCCATTTTTTCTTAAAAATTGAGATAATTTGGAAAATTTTAATCAAGGTGTGCAACTTTCTAAGGTTCAAACCTCGAATTTCCAAATAATATTCCATAAAACGATAAAGAAAACGTATATTAGAGGTTTTCAAGTAATTTTTTCAATAAAATTTTAAAAGAAGCTTTGTATTAATATATTACTTATAAAAATTTATTGATTATTTTACTTGTGATAACAATATATTGATAACACAAGTTTTAGTTGTATCATTTAAACAACACATTTTTTCATTTAATCTAGACAAGATAAATATTTATCATATCTTGTATTTTATTGATCTGAAATTGATAAATTTTGCAGGTCGACTTCTAAACATTTTAATGACATGTTATATGTGATGTTTTTACATTTGCTTTATTTAAGTCGAATTTTATTTAATGTAGTATAGCAAACTATTATTTTCTATGAAAGTTTTTATCATATTTCATAATTTCTATAGATTTTTTTTTTTACTTATACGTAATTAACTATTTTATCATTTTTTACAATGGTCAAAAGATAATTACGCAAATCAAATTGTTGATATTGATTTGGCCATAAATGGTCAAATATTAAATGTTTTATTTTACAATTTAAAAATTTGCAGTAGTGTTACATTGGTTATAAAAGATATATAAGTATTTTGGGCTAAAATAAAATTCCACCAAAAAAAAAGTCATCACAGTATTACTCAGGTAGAAGTTGAGTATAAAGAATGGAAATCATTGAACAAATTGTGAAAACGAAAAAGTTTGATACAAAGTGGTAAAGAACAACAATTTATTGACAAAATGTTTTGTCTATGGAATATAGTTCACACATTTGACTATGAATTAATTTAAATGTATTTAAATAACCAAAAGCAGAAAGGTTATTTGAGAAGTACAAATGAAAATGATTGTTTTGATGTGAATCAAAATGAAAGTTCTTGTCAACATACAAAAGAAGATAATCGCAAATGAAAATTTGAAGAAGAGAAATAACAATGTAAGTACATTTTTGGAATGTTTATAACCATTATAAAAAATAATCAACAAAATTTTTATTTCAATAATTTCAATAAATAATACTTGTTCAATGCTATAAAATTCATATAAATAATTGTTAATATGAAATTATTATAACCTTAAATTATAATTTAGTTATTTATATTCAACTCAGTATGAACATTTGATTAGGTTGTATTGAGGCGTTGAAACTTTTAAAGTAAAAACGTATAAAAAATTAGCAGATTAATTACATTTGTGTTATCAATATATTGTTATCACAAATAAAATAAACAATAAATTTTTAAAAGTAATAAATTAATACAAAGCTTCTTTTAAAATTTTATTGAAAAAATTACTTGAAAACTTCTAATATACGTTTTCTTCATCGTTTTATGGAATATTATTTGGAAATTCGAGGTTAGAACCATAGAAAGTTGTACACCTTGATTTAAATTTTTCCAAATGATCTCAATTTGGGCTTCGATGCGAAGCTGAGATGTATTCATTTTAATATGATGTGTTTTTTTTTTATTTACTTTTTTTTTTTTTTGTGTCCGTTACCACTTTTTCACAGCTGTCACCGAACCGATTTTTTTCAACGATAAGACAAAAGATCACAAATCGTATCAAGTTGAAGATATTAATCTGAAATTGAAAATGTTTCCTTCGTTCCCCGTAAATGGGGGAAATCTCATTAAAAACAAATTTAAAAATCGCTAATTTTTGACATTTTAAAATTTTTTTTTACTTAAAATTGCTATAACTTTTTTAAAAATGACAAAATTGATATAACTTCAAGAAATTTTGGTAAAAAAAAAAAACAAACTACTAAATAAATTTTCATTAAGTATTATGAAAAAAATTTGATCAATAAAACTTCCTAAAAAAATAATAATTAGTTGATTCATAAATATTGATTAACTTATTGTTCTTTTAACTGCCATAAGTTTTTCAAAAATGTCCAAATGAATATAATTTTTTATTTTAATAGATACCTCATGTATCTATTGTATACATGTATACAAAATTGAATAATAAAAGTAAATTTTGGTTCTGATGAAATTGTTTTGCAGACCATATATTTATAATTAACAACAAATTATTATTTAAAAAGTTTTGTGTTAAGCCATTCAATTTTTTTACACGTTTGCCATAAAAGTAATAACTTCTTTAAAATTTTTTATAAATACTACGAAAAAATTAATATTCTAAATTATTAAATATTAATCTCATACTAATTCATTTGCTATAATAAATATTTATTTATTTATTATACTTCTAAATCAAAAAATTACTAGTCAGGAGTAATAAAGGAAATAGGAATTAATTTGCTTTTGGTGTAATCCATCAACTTCTTAAAATTAAACACTATCTACTGTAATAACTAAAAATAAAGTTGATGGGGGTGGTATTAATAAAAAAGAATGATAATGGTATCATCTGTAAAGATATAATAGATACAAGTACTTTGTTTCTAGTTATTACTTTATTAGTGTAGTTAGTGTATTAAAACTACTCTCACTTGATATTCACTGATGNTAGTGTATTAAAACTACTCTCACCTGATATTCACTGATGGTGATAGAATCTTGATTGTAGATTTATGGTTATTAAGAATGTTGTTAAAATTTATAGTAGATATGTTAATGAAAGAGAATTGTATTTGGTTAATAAAAACGTATTTATTATTATAGAAAGTGTTAATTATTTTAACAAATGTATAGTTTAGATTTAGTGACAAAAGTTAAGTCTATAGAAACACAGTATAAAGAATATGCTAAAGTACGTAGGAAATAATCTTAAAGGTTTAACTTGATAAAAGTGATTATTAAGTGAGAAAAATGAGAGAGTGACTGATTGGAAAAACAGTGTCTTCAGTCTTTATAGAATGTACCACAAAAGTCATAAACAGGGATTGGGCGTCTTGAATGTGTCATACTTTATATAGGCACATTCAGTCATCATTTCCTTCCTTACTTCCCGTCAGGTTATCCCTCAAATATAGTCGTTATCCATGTATTGTTTATAATAAGATGTCCTATCCACGTCCATCTTGATCTTTATATTTATTCTCTGATACATTTCTTCATTAGTCGCTCTTTTTGTCCAAGAAATTTTTAAGACCCTTCGAGACAGCACCATGTTTCAAATGCCTCTATTTTTTTCAGTCTACTTTCATAATTGTCCACGATTCAGCTTCATATGATGCCAATCGTTGATTTTGATATACTTATATATATTTGTTTTTAACTTTGTGTAACCATCGAAATCACGTCCGCTTACTTAGTTCAACATGTTTTGTAATTGTCTTTATCATTAATAAACGGCTTTACGATATCTTCTGTTCTGTAAAACCGGTGTCGTCTATTTATCGTGCTTACGACATGAGTCGTAACATGGTGTGGGTATGTATAATTATTTACATATTCCAACTTAATATGGTTCTCGATTATGTTGGAGTTTACTTGTTGTTTGCTATCAAGTAGTATCTTCATCTGTGTCTTATTAATATTCATATTGTATTCTTGTTTAAGTGTGTTATTTATTTCTTGAAGCATTCCTTTTAGGTTTTGTTTGCTGTTTGCTATCATAGCAATTCATATGCGTATCGCAGCATCTGAACTAGCATTTCACCCACCAATCATAACCCTTTTATATCTTGTGTCATACTTTATATAGGCACATTCAGTCATCATTTCCTTCCTTACTTCCCGTCAGGTTATTCCTCAAATATAGTCGTTATCCATGTATTGTTTATAATAAGATGTCCTATCCACGTCCATCTTGATCTTTATATTTATTCTCTGATACATTTCTTCATTAGTCGCTCTTTTTGTCCAAGAAATTTTTAAGACCCTTCGAGACAGCACCATGTTTCAAATGCCTCTATTTTTTTCGGTCTACTTTCATAATTGTCCACGATTCAGCTTCATATAATGCTAAATTCCATAAAAATGTTTACAGATCTACAGATTTGCATCGAAGCGTTTTTTATGATAGTGATTAAAAATCACTGTCAGGTATCATCTATATTGGACCCAACTATACCACGTCCCCCACTCAGCTGGGTTTTTTAAATATAATTTTTTTATATTAAAAAAAATGGTAGGGTTTTCAGAAATAAAATGTAATTTGTAGAATATGGGTTATTATTATTTTTAATAATACTGATTTTAACACTTTTTCTTTGAAAATTAATTTTATGATTATAATTCTGTCATTTTTCCTAACTTCTACTACTTTACTTTTCATCTCCTTATCCATTATTATAGCTACACAATTCTTTATATTGGTCTTTTCCGACTGTATTATTTTATAACCATTACCTATTTCCTTTATTTTTTCTTCCATCCACTAAGTTTCCTGTACACAACAAATATTAACTTTTCCCCTCTTCAATATTTCTACTAATTCTACCTCTACCAGTTAATATTCCAACATTCCACGTACCTATTCTTAGTTTGTATCTATCTTTCTCCCTTATACATTAAATTGAATGATGATGTTCCTTCATTGTTGATACTACAAAACTTGTAGTTGGGTTACACTTAGTGTTGGTAAGACTGTATGCATACTGGTGAAACAACTATTACATAAGTTATTTGTCTGGTATCAAACACTTTATTATTTAGGCTTTCTTCGTCTCAAACTAATTTGTTTCCTCTTACTCGTTATCGCCGCGTACATCCAAAACGGGACAATCGTCTCAGTTCTGTTCAAGACTGTTCATACTTTTTCACAAAATTTTACGTTGGCTATCAAACTGACGCAACTTCATTAGTTGCCTCTTACGACTGGTAGAGGTGTTATAGAAGTATTCTCATCCCCTTCCATAAGGAAATTTTTATGAAATTTAATTTAAATAATTATAACAATACAAAATTATAATTTATAATAGAAAAACGTGAATATAAATAAAAAAGTTTAATACAAATTGTATTACATTAAGGGAAATTATTATTTACAGACAAAATAAGTGGAGAAATTAAGAAATTTAATTTATAAAGGTAGAATTATGCCACCTCTCCATATCTCCTACTTCGGATATTACTAACATCATGCTAATCTTGCTGTAATCTGAAAAATATGCTTTTGTCAGTGGTGCCTGGGGTAGTTGATTTTAGCATCCCTAGGCTTACCTTCCCTAAATTTAAATACCTATAGTTTCAATTAAGTATTTTTATTAAAAAAAAATTACTATCAGTTTTTTCCTATCTTGCCTTATGTTTAAATTATATTACTACTGTAGCAAATAATGTCGTTATATTGCCTATACTGGGACATTTCATTTTTCAATTAAGTTACCGGTCAACCATAATCGTTAGCTCGGTTATACAGCCATTTATAAACCCCATTATTAATACAGGCATTACACATTATATCATTATATAACCATTTAAATCAATATGATGGATTAGGGGGTGTAAGCTTTGTAATATTTACACAAACTTAATACCCTCTGAATTTTAGCTCTAGTTTAAGCCAGTGGGGCACTGGCTTAAATTGTCCTAATTTTTACTTAGCCTGAAAAAATACAATAATTTAAAGTTTTTAAATGACAAAACTGATATTAATGTTAAACGAAAAACCTATCATTAAATATCTATATCTAATTCTTTATAGGTGTTGATAAAAATATATTAACGACAGCTTGGAGATTTATTTTACCTCGAAAAATATTTGAAGAAAAACTTTTTGATTATGGTATAAATAAAGAAAATATGAATACAGTTTTTACTACCTTCAAAAGAGCAGAATCTCCATTAACACCCTATGAAAGCATAAGTAAGTAAACTACAAGTTAGACCGTTTAACATTTTTGGTTTTTTATTTTTACTTCTATGTTTCAAATATTTTTTGTTTGAGCAACTTAATTAATAATTTTTATAACTATAAATTACCAAAATTTTGCATTTCTAAATCAGCTATTATACATTTACATGGAAAAAATTTGGTTCGAATTTTTTAAATTTCAAGCTCGATTTTCGAATTGAATCGAATACTTAAGTTCGGTGCGGTTTTGTTCGAAAATGACTAATATTCTAGTTAAAACGTTTTTGCATTAAATGTATTATATGTTTTAATTAGTGTTATACTAGGTAATACTAAAATTAAGTAAAAATATAAGATGAATGTGACTGAAACTAATTTATAATTTTATTGTGCCTTATTAAATAATAAGATCTTGAAAATTTAAAACTTTAAAATGTAACTTTATCAGCTATAATAAATTTCATTAAAATTTGAAAAGACAGAATGGTAAATTCTTCAATTATTTAACTTTTAATAATAGTATGGAAATTAATTCCACAGAGAAATTAAAATATTTAACTCAAATAATGGCGGTTTTTGAACGAAATTTAGGTATATATAAAACTTATACCTCTCATTTACACATCATTAATTTAATAATTTAGTGTAGTATGCTAAGTCATGTAGAATTACAATTGTAATTTTACATAATTCGAAATAATAATAGTTATTTTATTATTATTTAACCATACTATGTAATGATAAAAAAAGGTCTTTAAAAATATAATTTGTAAATATCAACTTTATAAAATAGAATAATACTGGTTTGGGGATATTATTGTTTTTATTACCACTTTAAATACGCCATTGTACATATAAAAAAGTATGGACAAGTAAGTATAACCGACAAATATTTTTTTTAATTGAAAAATATTTTTTACTTTAATAAAAAATGTATTTATAAAATAAAATGATTATATTTTTCAGTTAATAAAACTGTCTTTTTTATCCAATATGGTAATGCCTAGTACAGTGGGAATCCGGATTAATGGAGACTTATATAGATTAAACACTGATTAAGAATATCACTTTTATAATACGCTTCGATAAGATTGTACTTATTTCCATAATAAATTTTGACTATTCTGATTTTTTTTAGTTGTGTATAATTTCAGTAGGATTTGAAATTATAATTTATCATAAATCTTTAGTAAATAAAATACATTTCTTGGGGTGAAATGGCTACTATAGCCTGTCCTAAGTATACTTCTAGGGTGGATATTAATAGCTGCAAAAATTTTTTCTAGAATTTTATATATAGCAAAATATAAATCATAAATAGATTTGTTTTGAATATTTTAAAAATAGTTTGGGTACTTATAAGTAGGGTCGAGCCGAATATTCGGCTTAATAATTTTTTTTAAATTGGCTAATATTTTATTTTCATTAGCATAATCAAGCAAAAATAAAATTTGTGGTATGAAAATCAAAAGGTTCTATCTCTTATGGACATTGTTCAAAAGGTACAAATCTTTTGGTTTTCATGCTGATAATACCATAATATCTATTAAGCTTTACAGGGAAAAAAATATTTTATAGGTATAGTAAATATAGTAACAACATAATTCTTCTTCTTCTTCCTCACCTTAATCTCAACTACTTGTGATAATTTCATCCATCACTATAGAGAATAAGTAAGGGCTTAAAGCAGAACCTTGATGCACTCCTACTCTTACCCGAAAACCTTCTGTTACTCCTCCTACGCTTTTTACCCTGGTACAAATGCCATCATACATATCTTCTATTATATTAATGTACCTTTTCGGGACTCCTTTTCTCATTAATTCCCACTTTAAAACCTCTCTCGGTACTCTATCATATGCTTAATGACAACATAATTATAACTATAAAATCAGTTGAAGTTATTAAATAAAATTAGTTAAATATTTTTTATAATTGATTTAACTATATATGTTAGTTATTCTAAATAAGTGTATAATTAATGACTGAGACAAGAACAAAGGCACTAACAAGTTTTCAATTTTTTTTAGTAGAAAATTTTTTTTTTATTAGCTTGTCTATAATTTAGATCAAATGGTATAGTTCTATAGAAAAGGTGGAGTAAATACCACATTTATCCTCCTTTTACAGAACAATAATGAAAATTATTTAAATGTTCGTCTTAAATATATTACAGATTTTAATGTCAATTCAAGAAGTATGTTAAAAGCAAAAGGCTTCCCTTACCAAAAACAAAAAAAAACTGTTCTACCAAAATTTTCCCTAAAATATATAAAACTAACGCTTTAATTATATTTTTAAAAAATATGGTTAAATGGTGTAATTAGTTCCTCTCTCCTATAGAACTATATCATTTGACTTAAAATATAGACTAATTTTTGTTTTCAAATGTTTGAAATAGAAAATTATTATAATACGAAAAATGCTGATTTTTTATACCAAAATACCATTATTTGTTTAACTTCGGAGGCCATATACATATAGAATACAACGTGTAGGAACAAACTTATAGTAAATAGCATATGATTTAATTTAACATATTTATAAAGTTCAAAGTATTTCAGAAACATTTTCAAATGTTAAGTTAAAAATGTTCTACTTTGTATACATATGTTTCAAGTTTTGAACTCTTCCTGTATAAAGGATTGAATAAAATTATTGTTCCGATTGAAAAAAAAGTACATTGGTTTAAAAGAATATCTATGAAGTACTTATAAAACAAACATTTATGAAAATCAGTGATCTCTTCACTGTAGCCCTTTGTTCGGTATTTTAAATAAAAGTAAAAAAAGGATGTCAGATAAAAGGAATATGTGTATAACAATTACAAAATAAAATTGTATTGATACATATATTTTTCAATAAGTTATGGCAATTTAATGTATCAAAATAATAACACGATAGACGGTAATTTTTTCCACGAAAATAGAATGTTTTTACTACGGCATCCATTAATAAGTAAATATATAATACAAATACACAAAAACTTTATAAATTTTATACTTTCTCTGTAAAAATTACGGAGAATAAATACCATATTAATATATTAACAAATTTAATTACATAATAAGTATTTTTCTCTGTATTTACAAAGTATGATTTAATATTTAAAATGTTAACTTTTGAAATATTTAAGTTAATATAGTATGTATTATTTCATTGCCGAAATTGGAGATATAGTTTTATATAACTAAAATAGAAGGTATTTTCAATTATTGAAAATGATTCTTTTTTTGTTCAATAATATTACCAAATGGTCTGGGATACTCACCGTCAAAAACATAAAGTTTTTACTCCTAAAAGACCAAGTTATTTGTAATAATAATTTTCAAGACTTGTAATATGGAATTCGATGTATTATACGATGACCTAGCTTTAGTCATATCATCAAGAATATTTTTAATTCATCCGATGAAACAAGATTAAGGTGAGTAAAAAGAAAAAAGAAGAAGATTTGATAAAATAAAAAACTTTTAAATTGTAATGATTGTTTAAGATATACTCCGAGCATCAAATATATGTTAAATTAAAATTTGTATTAAATGCTATAAGTTCAAAAAAAGAAATTTGTTCGGAGGACTTGTCTTTTATATGTAAATAGACTCCAAAGTTTAAAAAAATGATATTTTGGTATAAGAAATCACCGTTTTTCGTATAAATATAATACTTTTTTTAAAAATTTTTTGTTAGATATTATGTTTATATTTTAGGCAAAGTGGTATAGTAAAGTTTCCTATTTAACCCTCCGCATTTCCCAAACAAAACATTTTTTTTAAAGATTAAAGTTTATTAATATTTGCAGTTCTTAATGTCAATAAAAAACGTATATTAAAAGTAAGGGGGCCGCCCTTTCCCAAAAATTGAGGTAACGAAATATAGAATGATTCTTTTAATAACCTCTTTTATCCACTTGATTTCTCTTAATATAGTAATTTATCAATCATAGAAAATTTGTTATGATTATCCCTTATATCTTATAAGAGTGACAATTTTGTTTTTTTTAATGGCATGATGCATAAATAACTTATAAAATAGAAAATGACTGATCAATAATAATTTTGATTTAATACTTTAGAATTTATTAGCAATTTAAAATATAGACTGGAGGTGAAGCGAGGATGTCGCTATTTTTATCATTAGTCATTCCTTAGCCGCTCTCCTCCTCCCGTCTAATTAAAAAATGTTGTAGTTTTTCGAAGCACTGGTCCAAAAGTTTTTATTTATCAGTCATTTTATTATTAGATAATTTTCTAATTTATAAACTTATTGTTAAGTATGTGTGATGTAAAAAAAAAAAAATTATTATTTTAAGAGAAATTGAGTGGCTAGCGTTAAAAGGATCACCTTGAATTTATATTTAATTTTTATTGAATTAATAATATATTTTCTGAATCCGTTCAAGTTTTGTTTTATAACTTCCTTGAAAATTAACATTGATTAAATCGTTATATTCATTTCGCCTTAAAAAAAATAACATAACCCTTTTTCTATAAAAATCTGTAATATTTTTGTCAATTCTCAGTCAAAAATATCGAATGATTTTTAGAATTTAACATTTTTGCATAAATTATTTGCGATTTCCAATTAGGGAAATATTTTTCTTTATAATGTCATCATTATGTTCTTCTTCGTCTTCTGAATCAGTTATTTCTTTTGATTCTTGTTTACTTTTAATTTCAAAGTTAGCTGCAAATTTAGCTAAAATTAGTTTTTCATAATGCAGTTGTCTATATGAACAGTAATCAATAAGACTATCGCAAAATATTTTAGTACATATAAAATTCATATCGCTTTGAAGAGCACTAGGATTAACCATGTGAGTTTTTATCAGGATGACTTGTGTTAATAATTATATGGAAGGTAGATGTACTTGATTGTTTCATTCGTAAATATGAATTTACTGCTTCTTGGGCAAATACATATCTCGATTTCTGGGATAAGGATAGTAAAATCTTGCGAAACCCAGATATCATGCGATATTTCAAATCTCTTCTTAAAAACACAGTAGGGCAATTAAAATACCAGGCCTTATGACAGACTTATACTCATTGTTGTAGTATTTAGTTTGTAAATAATTCATATCTTCAATAGCTAGGTTTTCAATAGCCAAGTAATTTCTCAAAAAACGAATAATTTATATTTTTGCAATCGTATCTTATATTTTGAACTAATACCTGGTATCAAAGGTGTTAATATACAAGTCTCTTTCATTGGAGTATAAGGTGTATTAAATCGATAGTTATTTAAGTATTTATCTTTTGCACTTCGACAATAAGTATTTAATTTTTTATTTTATAATAAATAAATGGAGATACCTAAGTAACTAACAAAAGCAAAAAAAAAAAATTCACAAAAAAATTATTATTTTAAATGAAATTGAATGGCTAATGTTCAAAGAATTTTATTTACTCATTAAACAAATTTTTTTTTTTTAATGTTAATTAATTAATTAATTTAATATTATTTGATGTTTGAAGCAGGTGTTATGGGTGATTTAAAGCAATTTTTTGATAATATTAATACAAGTGTAAAACAATTGAAAAGTAATGAAAAGACCAATAATAAAATCCAGCAAAAAGATGGTAAGAATTTAACTTTTATGGCTAAATATAATACATAACAGATAACTCTAAAAAGTGCTCCTGTGTGCCAAAAACATAAAAATATATCCATTGTAGGAGGGTTTTTCCTGAGTAAAGTATTTTTTGTTTTTTTTGATAGAAGCTAAGGCAATAGTGATGTAATTATGAAGTTGCGTTTGTGATGCCCAACAAAATTTAGAGATTGAAAATTAAAAGATAAAACAAATCTAACTGAACAATTTTAATATTTTTGATTTAATAATATCAATTCATTATATTTTTTTAAGGACTTAGGAATTCTTAACTATGTTAAAAGCATATTTTTTATAATTAGTCTCTAATAAGAAAAACAAATTTTTGTTAATTTACAAACTTTAAAAATTGTAACATGGATGGAATTTATGTTATATGTCATAAATATTTATTATAAATATATACCAGTACACTTGATATACATAACAACGTTAATTATTTTTGAATTTAATAAATACCAACTTAATTATTCTGGATAATGTGTTGATGGCTAGTTAATTAAACTGTCAATGACATCAGAAAATAAAATCGAAAATAATAGCTAGTTTGTTAGCTTAGCTTATTTGAGATGGAATTTTAAAAGTCTATATTTATTTGTATAACACTTTAGGGCCTAAAGTGGTATAAAAATAGGCTTGAGTTAAGTAATTATAAATAATAATATAGAGAGTAAAATAATGTAACTCAGTAACAGCTTAATTATCTGCATAATGCTTGAAATATAAGTTTGTCATGTTTATTTTCGTTATCAATAAATGTATAGGTGATTGGATAATGGTTAAGACATAAAAATCATGTTTTAACTTTTTAAAACGATAGGTTTTTAAAATCTTAAAATTTTTGTTTATACCTTGTAAAAAGAAATATTAGTATTTTAATCATATTATGTTCAAGTATCAAATTAAACGCTTGTTTACTAAAATATATAAAGCCACTCTGTATGAAACTTTGTGTAATTGGATTTCAGATAAGCTCCTTTCTAGGTATAAAATATAATTGAACAGTAGTTTGTACGTGTAATCCGTTAGACCCATCAGTTCTAAAATAAATGGTTTTTGCATCACTAGATGTTAGGCATTTCTATTAATATATTACTTTATTAATTATACTATACATCATTTTAGATAACCTGATTTGAATAAGCCTCTTTAGTTTTTGGATATTACATTGTAGTTACTATTAAAATTAAAAATATTAATTTAAAACTAAAAAAAGCTGTAGCACAGTGTGGACGTGACATAGTTGAGACAAGTATAGATGTTGATTGATAGTGTTTAAAATTATTGTCATAAGAAACGCTTCGATGCGAATCTGTAGTTAATGTTTAATTTAAAAAATTGATTGATTATTCCAAAAGCTAAATGATCTCCTATTTCCTAATTTATATCCTGATTACAAATTTTATGATTTATAAGTGTAATATATGAATAAATATATATATTTATAATATATAAATATTTAAAGGGAAATGGTTTTATTTAAAAAAATTGGTGGATTTTTTCAAAAGCATCATCAACTCCTATTTATAAGAAACCATAGAAAAGCATATAATTTGAGAAGCCATATAAATACAAATAACATGGGAAGTCATAGAAATGCAAATCATTTGACGAATCATAAAAATGATGTGGATTGTGATGTAGTATAAAAAAATGGTAGTGCAGTAGGATCACGGCACAGTATGGACGTAGGATAGTTGGGACAAGTATAGATGACCTGACAGTGATTAAAACCACTACCTTAAGAAACGCTTTCACACAAATCAGTAGATAATGTTTAATTCTAAGAAATTGGTGAATAATTCCAAAGGCAACATCAACTTCTATTTCTTTAATTATATCGTGATTAGTAGTTTTTTTATTTATAAGTATAATATGTGTATAAATGCTAATTATAGTAATTCATTTTAGTATGAAAGTGATAATCAATAATTTAATATTGTATTTTTACGGAGAAATTATTAGGTAGTAGTTGCTTTTATGGCAAAACTTTAATGTTATTTTACCAATTAGACGAAATACATAACTAAGCTATTTATTTTTATAGACCCCTAATACTCGTGTTCTCTTCTTAATCCTGACCTGGTTGTCATTACGTCTATTTTTACAAAAAAGGTATTTTCTAATAAAAGGTATTATCTAGGGATATACTGGCGTCCAGAATTCGTACTTGAGGGAGAGACTTACAAGCTCAAATGTCATGTAGTTGTTGAATACCACATTCGGATGTAAGGAGCATATTTTAAAGGCTAAATCAAAAGCGTTGTTATTGACAGCAGTTTTTTCACAAATGATGCCCAACGTGGAAGAACCAGGTTGGGTAATAATTTGTATTTTAATACAAATTATTGATTGTATTTTATAATTAATAATTGGTCAATAAACAATACTATATCTAAAATTAAAAAATTTAAATTTAAATTGTATTAGCCACAAGTGATCAATTTGTATTATATAGATACTATCTGCCGCGTTTTCGGCAATAGTCTTTCAAAAATACAGAAAAATTTAATAAGGTCTACAACGTAATATTACATTGAAAGTAGCAAGTGTATAAGGGACCGCGACAACAGAAGCTAATGTCATAAGCGAAGCTACGGTCTGATCTGGCTAATGAGCTTATTATTTATGTATAAATTATAAGTTATTGTTGCAATCTTTATTATTAATAAATTCTATGTATAATTATAAAATACATTTAAGCAATTAAAAAGTTAATTTCCGATTGTACAAGTAACAATTATTTATATAAATGTTACCTCTCTTCACAGTAATATGATAACTATTTCACAATTATTCTAAAATAGATTTAATTATTTTCTTTGTGGTAATTTTATAAGTGAAAAATTGAACTTAGTTGTAATAAATCAAAATTGACTACGGTGAATATAATTACACGTTGAAGATATAGTTTTATTTCAATTAGATGGGTAAGTAAAAATGTCTTCTATTCCCTCCAACCTTAGGCAGAATTGCCCACTCTATGTATAAATATGCTTGTTACTGAATTACTTATCCTGAAGTTGTTATATGGTCATTAGAATTATTTCTAAGAAAAGGGCTAAAAAATGGTCATTTCATATATGCTTTTAACATAGTCTGTAAAAACCAAATTCAAAAAATTATTTAAAAATAAAGTAACTAATAACATTTGCTGGATCAAAAATTATTAAAATTGACAAAACATCGTAGACCAATTATTACGTATAAAATTTTCTTTATAAGTTACATAACAGTAATTTTTATATTAAGTATAATATGTTTGTGTTGTGAGTAAATGATCCCGCTGGCTTCGTTCTCTGCTTTGCAAAATAATGGACCGGTCAAAAATTTACCCAATTCTAGTAAAATCTCAATTGACGTCTCTAGTTATTTAAGTTATTTAACAATAAAAAGTAAAAAATAAAAGCATTTTAGATAGTTTTAACTATAACACGAGAATTTTTTTAACACTCTTGTTAGTTATTCGTTGAAAATGGTCAAAAATATAACAATAAAATACAATTACTATAAAATTAACAGTAGATATTAAAAACACATAAATATGGATGATTAACAAAAAAAAGTATTTAATGCGAATAATAAGATTTTCGGTATGTAAAATAAAACCGGCATTGAAGTCAATACTGAATATCGATGTATAGGTTTGAAATACCGCCAACCCTACCCATAGTTGTATCTATGATTACAGTGGATGTTTTTAATAGTAATTTTAGTTAAAACATTAATACTATTTTATAAAAAAATTATCCACCCTGCATATTTAATTAGTTTTAAGTCTAAGATTGATAATTTATTTCATTTTCTTCTATAATATTATATTATGGTACCCATGATGTAATTCAAGTTTTGCTATTTTCTAGGACTAATTTAATTAAATTAAGCTATGGGAGTCAAATTTTAAGAACTAAAAGTATTTCTAACGATTTTTACTATACAACCAATAAAATAGTGTAATATAATTAATAACTTCTTCACTTGAAGGACTATGTATGTTATTTATATGCTTTGTGATAAAGGTGATTTCTAGTGTAGACATTTTCCAAATTTATTTAATGAGTACATAGTACTTATAATGACGTGTGTTTTAACTTTTAAGTAAGGTTCAATAAATTACTTCGTGGCTCAATTGATAATAGTAACCACTTTTGGTTAATAAATTAAAAGTTTTAGTATGCTGTTAATTGTAATGCAAGTATTTGGTTGAGATTTCGCATTTTATTAACTAAGCTCTTTTTGTACAATTGATTTTATACAATTATTACTTTCACTTATTACTCATACTGTTAAAACTTAAATAAATTAATAGTTTTTAATAAAATATGGTTCTAAATCTGAAAGTTATTTAATAGAAATATGAAACAAAGGGCAAAGAAATTTGCAAGTTTCTTTGGCTAAATGCATATGTGTATTCACTCTAGAATAACTCAATGAAAAATGGAACCTGTCTGTTCACATTCTTGTCGGCCGGTCCATACCGATCGATTCTGTTTTAGATATGTTTTAAATGACCTACGATTTTAAGTAAAATTAATTTTTTTTTGCATAATAATAATAATAATTAATAATAAAAAGCTTAATTATGAAAAAAAATTGATATATAAAACTCAAAAACAATTGCAGTTTTATTTTTATAAGTTTTTTTTTGCAGTTAAAAAAAAATTTAATAGCCTTATATATTTTAGTGTTTTGAGACAATGGTATAATTAGATTTAGCATATGACTCTTTGTCACTCAGTTATTTAAGTAGTAGTAAAGAATATCAGAAATATTTTGAAAATTACAATTAGTTAGTAACTTAGTATGGAAATAAAAAAAAATTTAACTAATTTATTAAATAATTATCGTTGCATAAAATCGAATTACTCTATAATACAACTCTTTTCATAAAATTATATTAGAGAGTTAAAAAAAATATAAAATGTTCAGTTTTTTATAATTATTTAATTGTTTAAATAATTACTAATTAGTAATTATTATTTTATATAACTAAGATGAATATTTTTAATAATTTTTTTATGTGTTGCAGATGCTTTTTATATAAGTAACACTTATAAGGGATACAAGCCATCTGATAATATAAAAAATTTTGTTAAGATAGATAACCGAGAAACATTTCACGGATCTAATAGCCATGATCCTGCAATTTTATGGACTGGTCTAGGCAAAAAAAAAAGACTTTTAAACGAAAATTGACAAACTCTCTGTCTAATTTGAAATTTTTTAAATTATAGTTAGTCAGCAATGTAAATTCATTTCATTGCTTAATTAATAAAATAAATATTAAATAATTACACAATTGTTTGTGTACATTAATGCTTCTATCTTTGATCTAACTTAAAGAAAATGTTCATTTGCAGACATTAATCATTATTATAGGTATATCCATAACCTATATAATAACAATTTATTAAATAAAAATATGGATAAATATATTTTTTTCATGAACCTATTAAGTTTTTAAATATAATTTGTTAAACAAATTTTTAGTAAATTGTTTGTATTAGTTAAAGTTGATAATTTTTAAGTTTTAATATTTTTTTTTAATATGTGTTTAGCCAGACATAACTGATCTTTTTAATAATCTAACTATAGCACTAATGGTATATCATACAAAATCAAAATCATTTATTAACATACCATTGACAGGAATAACAAAAATAAATTTTTTTTATATAACCATTTATAAGTTTTCACACCTAGATGACAATTTGAACTAGTGCCAATTTTACATATATACATACAAATAATAAAAATAAAAATTAGAAATATAAAGAATATTAATTTTTTTTTTAATTTTGAATATAATACATTTTGGAAAAATTGTCACAGAAAATTTATTACTTATCTTTTATAATTATTTTGTGCATTCATATCAGCCAAATATAATTGTTAAACTATTGCTAAAATATGTATATTTTAAACAAATTACAGTAAAAAAAAAAAAAAAAAACGAATGTCTAATAGTTGTCTAAATTGTTTAAATTTTATAGATGATCCATATAATACATAAATTGAAATAGAATATCAATGTTGTAAAAATGCAAACACATAACTTAAACTATATAGATGTTTGAATAAATAATTATTTAGATAAAATTTTCTTCTGGTTCTTTTGGAGCATCTAAATCACGATAATGAATAATGGGTCTATAATCAAAACCACCCCTGTAAACAAAGAATTTAATAATCAGAAAAATATAGAAATAAATATAATTTATGGGTTAAATAACGGAAGAATTGGTATTTCATATAATACTATTATATTTTTTGGTTATTTCAAAACAAATAGGCAAAAAAATATATCAGCTACATTAGTTATAAGTAGGATTGGCTCTGTTTTTTTAACCCCAAGATAGTTTTTTAGTATTTATATAAAAAAAATCCACTATGCTTTTTTTATTTTTATCAACCAATTAACTGTTTTATTGTTTTATAAATAAAAAATTTTGGCATAAATAATAATAATTTTTTTATTGACAATCATAAAAAAATAAGCACATCAAGGTAAAATCAAAAACTTGTCAGCTATATATTTAAGCGAAAATATTGTGAGTTTTAAATCTCATTTTTTTAAACTATTTAAATTAATAAAATGAAATTGGTAGAATTTTTTATTTTTAAATGAAAATGTTATTTAATAGGCTATGAAAGAACTGTTTGAATTTAGTCCAGAAAAAACATTTGGGCATTTTTATGTCAACCCTGGTTATAACCCCAATTATTTATGGAACAAGAAATTATTAAAAATCTTACATTCATTCAAAATAATTTAAATTAATATTGTTTTTATTGATTTGAAGTTGGATATTAGTTTTTTATTTACAATTATTAACAATAAAGATTTACACAATATGAATCATGTTAATATATCTAGATTATATTTTCATCTTACAGGATTAATTTAATCATTTAAGATATTTTTAAATTACTCACCTGCCACCTCTAAAACCTCCACGCGCTGGTGGTCTAGTATATCCATACATGCCTCGGCCAAATCCACCACCTCCATATGGTGGATATCCAGGTAATTGATAACTAAAAATAATAACGAGTTAAATAACAAAAAAAAAAATTTAAGTTTTGATAATTTCTTACGGATTGGCAGCAGGAGTATAAGGCTGGGGTGTATCACTTAACTCTTTTCTAGGTTGTTTATTTCCAGGATGTTCTGGTAATTGAGGTCTTTTTGGGTCACGCAAATAATTATTAAAATATTTAACCTAAAATAGTAATTATAAATTTCTTAAATATAAAAATAATAATATAGTGAATAATTATTTTACCTCTTTCTTCACATCATCTAACTTATCAATATGTTTATTAAAAATATGTTTTCGCACAAAATCTGGACCTTTAAATTTTTTACCCGACAATGGACACAACCATTTATCTTTAGATATTTCTTGTGTATTAGCTGTAACAAATTTTTCAATTTCTTCTTCTTCACTTTTTGCTCCAAGTTGAATTAATTCTTTTTCGCTAATTTCATTAGGAGTTGAACTAGTTAGAGAACTAACTTTAGTTTGAAAATTTTGACAATAATCATTAATTTCTTGCTGAGTAGGCTATAGTATATAAATATTTAAAAAAAACAGAATAATTAACACATATTTAAGTTACCCTTATTTTATAATTAACCAAATCAACATACTGGACTACTTGGAAGGGCACAACGGGCATGCATTATACCACATCGATTAGGCATCTCATCTTCGTTTATATATTCACTATGATTATAATAATCTACTGAATGAACGATTCGTAAATAAAGTAACATTTTATCAAGTGCCTAAAACAAAATAGTGAATAAATTAATAATGGATATATCATCCAATTTTTTTCATAAGCCTATATTTTTGTATTTGTTTCAAGTATTAAGAAACATTCCACTACTATAAAAATCTTATATTTTTATATCTCATAATGAAACATTTGAGCTCTTAAAATAAACAAATTAATTATTGTAGTATCTAACTTATAAAACCAAAATTAACTAATAAATATTTTAAACAAATTTAAAATAAAACATACAAAACTTTAATTGACCAATTATATTTATACGCTAAATTTTAAGGGGAGTTTCTCAGAAAGTAGAGAAGGAAAATTTATTTTTAAATCTGTTATTGAACTAATTTTTCAAATTACGCTGAAGTTTCAATTTAGATAACTTATTTTCCTTGAAAGTATACTAAAAAAATGTTAAGTTAATATTTTTATGAAAAAAAAAGAAAAAAAAATAACACAGTGGGGTCGCGCCACACTGGGGACATAGCATAGTTGGGTTAAGTATAATGATATCTGACAGTGATTAAAATCACTATAAAAAAAAACGCTTCGATGCAAATCTGTAGATAGTGTTAAATTTAAAAAATTGATGGATTATTCCAAAAGCTACATGATTACAAGTTTTATCATTTATAAGTGTAATATAAGAATATATATATATATTTATAATATATTATTTTAAGAAAAAGTATGTCAAATGAAAGAGGGATATAAATATTATTTCTCATACAAAAATTGTATTGATCCATATATTTTTCAATAAGTTATAGCATTATAAAGTTAAAAATTAAAATATAAAATCGAGAATTTTCACACAAAAATAGCATTTGGTAACTATTTTCACCGTAAAGACAAAATAGCCTGAAATTTTTTTTTCCATAATAAAGTATTAGCTTTTATTTAAGATATATATAACAGTGTCAGAGTTTCTGGAACATCCAAAATTTAAGTTGAAAATGTAAATTTTTGTAAAAAAGTTCCTTCTGTAGGCAGGTAAAAGACCAGATTTATAAAAAAAATATACCAATAGGTAAAGACATGCATCTATAAAAAAAAATTATGTTGGATCGGATATTTTTAAAAAAGTTATGGCAGTTATAAGTAAAAAATTTTTTTTAAAAGTCAAAAATTAGTGATTTTTTAATTTGTAAATTTTTTAAGATTTCCTTCATTTACAGGGAACGAGGGAAATTTTTTCAATCATCAGAGTAATGTCTTCAACTAGATACGATTTGTGATCTTTTAACATATTGTTGAAAGAAATCCATATGGTGAGAGCTGAGAAAAAGTGGTAACAAATACAAAAAAAAAAAAAACACACACATAGTAAAACTAATACCTTCTCAGTTTCGCATTGAAGCTAAAAAAAAAATTGTAACATTTATTTTTAGTTATAGAATTTTTAGACAAAATCTATTGATGACAGCATTTTATATTATCTATTATAAAGAAAATTATTATGAACTACAAGTAATATTGGTAAAACAAACTACTATCTATAATTTTGTATATTTTTTTTATAAATTTAACCCTTTACCTATCCACAAGGGGAGATTCAAAATGACAACTTTTTCAACTTAATTTTTGAAAAAGTTTCCGGAAATACTGACACTTTTATATATACCTTAAATTAAAGCTTATGTATTATACTTTATTATGAAAAAATAAAATTTGGGACTTTATTTTGTTTTCATGGCGAAAACGAACATTAAAATTAAAAAAAAGTACGACTTTTGTAAAAAAATTCTTTTTAAAATTTTTAATTTTATAATGCTATAACTTTTTGAAAAATGTATGGATCAATACAATTTTTTTATGATAAATACTATTTATATTATTTATATACCTCTTTCATTCGACATACTTTTTTTTTAAATAAAACCTATTCCTTTTAAATATTTATATATTATAAATATATATATTTATTCATATATTACACTTGTAAATCATAAAATTTGTAATCAGGAATAATCCACCAATTTTTTAACATTAAACACTATCTACAGATTTGAATCGAAGCGTTTTTTATGATAATGATTTTAATCACTGTCAGATATCATTATACTTGACCCAACTATGCAACGTCCCCCACTGTTCTGGTTTTTTTCTTCTAATATTACATTTGATTGTTTTACTTAAAACTATAGGTTTCAGACTAAATTTAAATGACTAAAAGAATTTGAACTGTTTTAAAATGTTACTCATTTTTTAGTACATTATTTAACAAAAATTAACTTAGTTTGACTTAAAATAAATTAATAAAATAAAATAAAATAAATATAAATAGTATTAAATCAAACCTTGAATAATTGTACATCTTTGTCAGTTGTATCTTCAGGTTCACAAGTAGCATTTTCTCCCAAAAGTTCCTCTTCTTCAGCAGAAGCTTCTTCAATTAAAAAGTCAGTAATATTTTGTAATACAGGATTGTGTGAAACAACTCCATAAGTACATTCAGCAGGTGTTTCTTCATTATTAGTTTGCCAAATATCAGCACGTTTATCAAAATTATTTATAATATTAGCACAAAGTTTCATATCATTCCGGGCTACTTGTCTATGACTAGTAATTCCATTAACAGATCGAATTCTTTTACTTAAATCTCTGTTGACGATAGCACCCAATTCACAATCACGTAACTAAATAAATTTTTTTTTTTTTAAATTACCTTGTATTGAAATATTATCTACGTGATTTATTATTAAATAGTTGAATACTCAGGATTAATTGAGTTTTGAATCAAAAAAATTAAACATATAAAAGTTGTGCTAATCATACTTGATATGACACATAAATTCATAATATTTAAAGAATGATTTTGAGTTTTATAATATAGTGAAACCTCATTAATCTTGACCCAGTTATGTACAATTATGACGAGACATAGTTACGTTAGAAAGCTAAAATAACCAATAACATCATATTTTTGTGTACTATTTGGTAATGCTCTCCAATTAAAACTCTGTCTTGTCATAGTTGTACATAGGAGTCCTAAAAAAACGAGAATTTACTATACATAAATAATACTTTAATACATAAGTACATTTTTAATAATTTCTATGGCACTAATTACCCTAACATTATTGAGATTCCAGCATATTTCTTTAATGTTAACATCTCGATCAAAAGTTACCCAACCACGCCTAAACCATCTTCGTTCTGGCAAAGGGTCTGCAATAGATAAACGCATAAAACCTTGGAATCGTTTACAAATCTAAAAAAAAAAATTATATTTTAAGATAATTGATAATATAAAAATCACTAGAAAAATACATACAGTTTCCAATTCGAATTTTGTTATTGTAGGAGCTAAATTTCTTAAAAAAACTGATGTAGTACGATGTAATGCCAAAGGTTTTACAACATTCTTAAATCAAAGCAATAATATATTACTATATTAATACAATAGTAATTAGTTAAATTCTTTTACATAATTTTTTAAACTTACACTATGATCATTATCGTTTGTTATGTCCATAACTTCTGATTTTTGTCCATTTTCATTTTTTGAATCTATCAAAAAAAAAAGTCAAAAAAAAAAAAAAAAGTTAACAAAATTTATTTTATTGAACTAGAGCTTCAAACTTAGCACCACCAGTCAAATTAATACTTTTATCAGACCCAAAATTAGTATTAAAAAAAATTTATAATTTCTATTTAATTTTTAAATATTCAGTATATATTTATATAAAATGATAAAATTAAATTTTATAAGGTTAAAGAGATTAAGTAAAGAAACTACTAATTTTAAACAGCTTTTAAAATTATTTATTTTTAAAATAAAGTCAAAATTCATAATCATGTTTGTCATTAAATAAAAAAACGGTAGCACAGTGGGGTCGAGGCACAGTGTAGACAAGGCATAGATGGGACAAGTATAGATGATATTTGACAGTGATTTAAATCACTATCATAAGAAACGCTTCGATGCAAATCTGTAGATAGTATTTCATTTTAAAAAAAAATTTGTTAAAATAGCATATTTTTGAATACGGTAGCCGTTTGCGTATAGAAGATAGATCGTCGGGACAAATTTTTTGTTTTCATTTTGTAGTACATAAAATAAGCTTTAATTTGATATATGTTTAAAGGACGCAGTATTTCCGGAACATTTTCAAAAATTAAGTTGAAAAAGTTATTTTTTGTAAAAAAGTTACTATTTTAAATCCCCCCAGTGAACAGAATAAGTGGTAGATTTCCAAAAAAAATTATATCAAATGAAAGGGAAATATCTAAGGTTTTAATACAAAAAAATATTATTTTTATTTGTTAATTTTTGAAAAAGTTATGGCAGTTTTAAGCACAAAAAACATCCCGATAAAAGGTAATTTTTATCGCAATCATTACATTTTTTTTTAATTTTCGACAGCCATTTGCACATAGAAGATAGATCGTCGGGACAAATTTTTTTTTTTTATTTTATAGTACATATAATAAGCTTTAATTTTATATATGTTTAAAGGACGCAGTATTTCCGGAACACTTTCAAAAGTTCAGTTGAAAAAGATCTATGTTTTTTACAATATTTCAAGTTTTGAACGCCCCCTATATAAGGGGAAATTGTCTAATTTTAATAAAATGTATTTCAGATGAAAGATGTACTTATAATGTATTTAGAAAAAAAAAAATTGTGCTGATACATACATTTTTCAAAAAGTTATAGCATTTTTAAGTTGAAAATTAAAAATCGAAAATCTAAAATTTTAACGCAAAAATAGCGTTTTTTTAACTACGGCAGCCGTTTAAATGTAGAAGAAAAAGTGTCGGGACAAATTTTTTTTTTTCATTTTGTAGAACATAAAATAAGCTTTAATTTGATATATGTTTGAAGGACGCAGTATTTCCGGAACATTTTCAAAAATTAAGTTGAAAAAGTTAATTTTTGTAAAAAAGTTGCTACTTTAAATCCCCCCTAATGAGCAGGTTAAATGATAGATTTTCAAAAAAATAATATAAAATGAAAGATAAATATCTAAGGTTTTAGTATAAAAAAAAATTATGTTGATTTGTTGATTTTTCAAAAAGTTATGGAAGTTTTAAGAAAAAAAAGTGAAAAAATTTCGAAAATTAGCGATTTTTAAATTTGTAATTTTTTTGGATATTTCCCCCATTTGCGGGGAACGAGGGAATTTTTTTCAATTTTTAAGGGTAATGTCTTCAACTAGATACGATTTGTGATCTTTTGACATATTTTTGAAAGAAATCGGTCCAGTGAGAGCTGAGAAAAAGTGGCAACAGACATAAAAAAAAAAAAAAACACATCATAGTAAAATTAATACCTTCTCCGCTTCGCATCGAAGCTAAAAAAAAGCTATAATTTTCTATACAATTTAATAGAAAATATAATCTAATTAAGCAAGTTATACAAAAATCTGTAAAACTAAAAAAAGGTATAAATTCTATAATTTCAAAAATAAAAACTAAAATTTATTAAAACCTTATAATACTAGTAATAATATAAATATTTTGAGGCAGGAGCAAATAAAACAGAAGGAGTGCTAGGGTGTTATAGTATTCTCTTAGGATGTGTTTGATCATGTAAAAAAAAACACAGCACAGTGGGAACGTGGCATAGTTGGGTCCAGTATAGATTTAATCTTACAGTGATTAAAATCACTATCATAATAAACTCTTTGATGCAAATGTGTAGATAATTTTTAATTCTAAGAAATTGGTGAATAATTACAAAAGCAACATCAACTGTTTCCTTAATTATATCCAAATAAGTAATTCTTAGATTCAAAAATATAATATAAAATTATATATTATATAATTGTTCTATTGAATTGTTTTCAAATTATTATTGATATTGATTTTTAATATGTTAAAAGTAATAATTTTTAACCTTTTTTATTTCATCCTTTTAAGTGGAAGTTTATAATAATAATAATAAAAAAACCCAGCACAGGGGGATCGCGGCACAGTGGTGACGTGGCATAGTTGGATCAAGTATTATAATATCTGACAGTGATTAAAATCACTATAAAAAAAAACGCTTCGATGAAAATCTTTAGATAGTGTTTAGTTTTAAAAAATTGGTGGATTATTCAAAAAGCAACATGATCTACTAGTTCGTTATTAATATCCTGATTCAGATAAAGTATATCGAATGAAAAAGGGATTATTAAAAATTATTATTTCTCATAAAAAAATTATGTTGATCCATACACTTTTCAATAAGTTATAGCATTATAAAGTTAAAAACATAAAAAAGAATTTTTTTACAAAAATCATATTTTTTTTTATCAACTTTGATGTTTGTTTTTACCATGAAGATAAAATAAAGTCCGAAATTTTTTTTACCATAATAAAGTATATTAGATTAGCTTTAACTTAATATATATATAAAAGTGTCACTTTCCGGAACACTTTCAAAAGTTAAGTTGAAAAAATTAATTTTTTGTGAAAAAGTTGTCATTTTAAATCCCCCCCTGTGGGCAAGTAAAGGGTCACATATAAAAAAAAAAATATACCAAATGAAAGGTAATGATATCATGCATCTATATAAAAAAAGAATTATATTGATTCGGTTATTTTTAAAAAAGTTATAGCAATTTTAAGTTGACAATTTAAAATCGAAAATTTGAACACAAAAAAACTTATTTTTTTAACTACGGAAGCCGTTTGCATGCAAAGAAATCGGTTCAGTAAGAGCTGAGAAAAAGTGGCAACAGACATAAAAAAAAAAAAATACATCATGGTAAAATTAATACCTTCTCAGCTTTGCATCGAAGTTAAAAAAATATAACGTAAAATATTTTTATTAGACATCCTCAAATAATAAGTTATAGATTTATTTAGTTTGAATTCCTAAACAATTATTACAATTACCTAAAATTAATTAATTTGTTTATGTAGTAAGTCATACTATAAAAAATGAATGATAAAAAATAAAATAATAATAATAACAAATTAAAGGGTATCAAGTAAACTAAAATTTGCAGAATAAATTTAATTTAATTTTAAACAAATTTATAAATAAGAAACTGCTTTTATTGGTTGCCCAAATACCTAACTAAATAAAGGATTATTTAAAATACATAGTAAGTAAAATAACCCCATTCTAGATGATATTTATATTAATATAGTTTTATAACTACGTGTCATCAATAATTACCATCACCAATGTTACCATTATTAGAAACATCGCTTTTCTCTTTCTCTACAACATCTTCTTTGTCACTATCTACTTCACCATCTGAGTTTCCAACAGTCCTAGAACAAGGAATAATAAATTTATATTAGATACAATAAATAAGTTAACAAAATGACTTTTAGTAAAGTATCTAATATAAAGAGTCTAACGTCACAAATTCAAAGGGGGACTGTTTAGAATTTTTTGTTATGTTTACTTATTTATTTTTTTATCGTGCAAGAGAACTCATTATTTTTGCCGTTGGCCGCTAGATAAGGAGACATAAGAGAATAAATATAATTAAAATCAAATTGTTTATCTGTAATGATTTCTCCCAAAAAGACAATTTGAAATTGCTGTTTGATTGATATTGGCTCTTCATCTGTGCTTTCTGTCATTGATCGTGGTAGAGTGCACATTTCTTTTTACGTGAAAAAAAAATAAAACTAGCGTATATTTTATCCCTGTTCCTTAATCTAGACACAGGCTACTGTATGTTTTACATATCAACCACTTACAACTTCAATTATCATAGAAGTGGTTAATAAACCACAAGGTGTTATATATATATATATATAACAACATATTAACTTAAAATTAAATTCCACCTATGGTCCCGTAATCATATCTGATAGGTATAACACCTTGCCTAGGTAGTGGTGACCCTTGCTATCATAGCTAGTCATTATGTAAGACGCAAACCACGTTGTTGCATGCCAACAAAATGTTCCCTTTGCAAGATGTGTATTAAATATTTACTATAATTTTATAAATTTCAAGAAAAATTGAGTAAAAATCTTTTTTAATTATTAATAAAAAATTTCTATTATTTAAGATTTAGGTCAAGTTTTACAATTTTCTTCAATAGTTTGATTTAAAAAAATGTGTATTATATATTTTAGATTTTGTAATTATGCCATAGTATTATGTTTATTGTTATTATATTATCAATTTTGCCATAGTAAATTTTATTGACCACAGTAAAATTGCAATCAAGTTTTTGCAAAAGATGTAATTTGTTTTTATTCAATATTTCATTTATATACTTCTATATTTTAATTTTTAATTAAATAAGTTATTCTGTTTTAAAATTTCATTTTGAATATCCCATAAATTGAATTAGATAGTTTCTAAATTTTTGTATAAAATTAATAATATAATAAAAAATAGTATTCATTATTAAGGGTAAAATTTTAAATTGCCAGAATTTTTTTTATATAATCATTAAAAAATACCAAAAATAGTTTTTTACTAATTATATAACTCTTACTCAGTAATTTTAATTTGCTCATTGGAAATATCAGTTTCTTCTTTAGTTTTTTGTAGTTTAACAGGATCTAATACAGTTAAATCAAAATCAGTGCCTCCTTCAAGTTTGATTACAATAGAATCCAAAAGGTGAACTAATGGATCAGGATTATCAGCATCAATAACAATACCATCAATCTTGCTTTTTGATAAAAATTCTTTAAACACATCTAAACGTTTCTAATATAAATAAAAAATTTGTATGGTAAGTCAGATATTTAATTATAATAATTTGTGTAAATATGTATTGTAAGATAATCTTACTTTAATGGCGATATTTTGCTCTTCTTTGCGTTTAACACTGTCATCAGGATGATATTTAATTTTAAACCTGAAATAGATTAAAAGAATGTATATTTAAAACAAAACATTTTATTGTAATTTTACCATTCCTCATCTTTATGAGCAACAAAGAATTCATTTAACTGATTTCTTTTAAATTGTAATTTGTATTCATTATATTTAGATAGAGCTTCCTCATCGGTAATATTATCATCTTGAGTTAACAAAAAAGCCTTTAATGACATCATAGGTGGCTGAGTATCCCCAGACGATTGATCTACTAATGGTGCTGCATGACCAACAGCATGTGCACCAGGATCTCTCATAGGTATAGTTCTACAAGAATAGGATTAAATCATCATTTGAATAAAAAAAAATTATTTATTTATTATTATTTATGATATTATGATAAAAATAAGTTTTTGAATTTATCAAAAAATTAATTTGTTGTAAGTATTGCTATGTTTTATCACACGAATGGTATTGTGTTAGCGGAACATTAAGAATACAGATTATTTTATTGTATTAACAAATGGCTGAATTAAAAACAATAATTTAAAGATGATATTACTTAACTACTATTTTTTTCATTTAAATTATTGTAAATTACCATTTATTATAAGTAATAGTCTCAAAATATATTTAAAAAAAATAATAATAAAACATAAAATATTAAACATTTATTTATAGTAAAATTTAAAAATCATATTAAAAAATAGTTAATCATACATAAACAATTGATTTGTTGTCCAGCATTATAAATGTTGTATCAAACTAAATTGTAAAAGAATTATTATTGTTATTACACAAAAGACAGTTACCATTACCATATCTTTCCTAAGATTTTCTTATTAATTTTAATAATAAGAAAATAAAAATAAAATGTAATTAATACCTAGTAACTGGAGGCATATGGTGACCAGGAGGATCCCATGGGGCGCTATAACCATAACCAGGTGGATCATATCCAATACGTCGGTCTTCCCTAAAAAAAAAAACAAAAAAATTGTTGGTGAACCAACATATATATAAAATATAACACTTATAATGCATACTCCAACAACACTTCATACTCTGCCAACGTATTAAAATCCTTGTAACTCAATAAATACTTATGAGTATTTATCAACCCATAATTTTTTATTTTTCAAAAAAATGGTTATTTTGAATAAAATATCATGTGAATGTACAGTAGTTAAATTTTTACAGAACAGTTATTCAGCGTGAAAATCTCAATCCAGTAAAAGCTCTAGTTCATGAATGAAATTCAAGCGGTGAAAATGGTTGGTTTATAATATTTATTGGTAATTTACCAACTAATATTCAAAATAACTAAATTATCGTTTTTTCAAGCACCAAAAATATTTTGTTAATAGAAAAATTGTAAATAATAGTTTTAAACTTCCTACCTTATATTATAATAAATTATTATTAGGTTATCAGTAAAATATTCAAAGCCTTCAGACAAAGTTAAATAATTTACCATCGTATCTTTTGATTACTATATTTTAACTGAAACTTGATTATTTAATAGCATTTTGAATTCTAAGTTAGAAATTAACAAATTTACAAATAATTTAACATGTTCATAATTGTTTTAAAATTTCACTGAATTATTTAAAATCTAATTTATTAATTATTTATGTGATTATACAATAATTGTAATAATTTCAACTAGTCATTTTATAATGTCAATTGGTCTTCTTCTTCTTTTTCTACGCCTTAGTCCTAACTACTTGAGGTCAGCCACCCTTATCCTAAACTTCCACTTGACACATCACCCACATAATCTACGTTCACATCAGCCATCCTCATACGGCTGATGTGACTTTATTATGTAAATTGGTAAAAAGCAAAAAAAAGTTTTAATACTATTTAATAACTTTTACTAAATTTTGACTTCATAAAAATACGCATTTTTTATAATTACTGTTATTTATATGGCTTTTTTTATATCTTTCCCTTTGGGATGTTATATTTTTATCAGTAAATCAATATAGAGTATTAAGTGTTAGTCAACATAATGAAGAAAATGACGAAAGAAAATATTCTTTTCGCTCTAAATATTAATTATAGGTATTCAATTTTTTCTATGAAAATTATTATCACTTAAATAATAGCCTATAATCAAACATTCCTGTAAAAATGTTTTTTTTTTTTAAAGTTATGGCATTATTCTTACAAATAAATAACTAGAAATAAAAGAATAAAATAACTTAAGGGTAGATAACTCAAATGTGACTATAGAAACATTTATTTAATTAGTTTTTTTACTTATTTAAATCTAAAATAATATTAATAATTAAAAAAAAAAAAAATTATGTTATTTTACAAAATATTTTACTCACCAATCAGGGCGCATTCTTTTTACTGGAGGTGACAAGTCTCTTTGTGCTCCTGGACTATATCTATCTCGCATTGGTCCTCTGTAGTCTCCTCTGCCTCTATTACGAGTACCCCAGCTTTCTCTTAAAAAGAAAAAAATCTTGACTAACCAGTAATTAAAAATAAAAAGTTAAAATAATATTTATAAAGTATAGAAAATTTCTTAACAAAATATAAGTATTAGAATTTATAAAACTTTTTTTGGTAAAAATAGTTTCAAAACAAGAAAAAAAATTATAAAGTAAGCCTCCCTAATAGTTTTTTTAAAATTCTTCATTATCAAACTCGTTCAATATTCCTAGGTTATTATTATATAAAAAAGTTTTATCATAATACTTAACAATTTTTAATAAAAATACATTTTACTTATTTTTTATTCGCCTATTGTTATACAATAACAATTACCTATCGTTCCAGTCATCACGTATTCGACGTTCATCTCTTCGATTTTCACTGCCTCTCACAGACTCTGTACGTTCACCTCGAAATTTGTCTCTTCGCTTCCTATCATATTCATCATCACTATCACCCATTACTTAGGTTATACTGAAAATGAAATAATATTTTATATTTATACAAAAATTATTTAAAAATCATTAGTTCTTTCAGATTTTTTTGAAAAGGGAAATTCTGTATATATAACAAGTATAAATAAAAAATTTATAACCTATTTAAAAACTATACAAGTATTTTGGATAATTAAATTATTATATCTTACTCAAAATTAAGATTAAACTACTTGAATTTGTCAATCAGTTATTAGTTTAACAACGAGCAAATATTGCCCATGGACAAATTCACTAACAAAAGTGAATTGACTAAGTTGAGTTACAAAAGAGAGGATAGAGGAGAGAACAGGCAGCATAGACAATTAACAGTTTTTGGTAACAAGCGACAAACAAAACTTTAGATCAGTGTTGACAACTTATATCAAAACCATAGATATGGACATTTTTACACTGATTATTATTTATAAAACAAATTAAATGCATTTTTACTAAAAATCAACAATTTGAAAATGAAGTATATTTGCATTTTAAAATTAAATTTTAATTTTTTATTTCAACGAAGATAATATTCAATTAAATTTATTATATAATATATTATGTATTAAATATTTGAATGTATATTTCTTTTAATCACACACATGATTTTTATCTAAGTTACAATATGATAAAAGGCCAGTCATATTGGTAAATGATAGTGAAAATAATTATTAATAAAAATTAATAATTTTTTTTTTTACTCTTATTTAGTTAACTTAAATTTATAATTTTTGAAAAATTTTTTGTTATACAATATCTGCTGTATTAATCTTTACTCTAGCCAATACATTTTTTTCTTTGTAAACTCTTATTAGTATAGATAACTGGACCATATTAAAAATATTTATTCATATTATAATGAAAACTAATAGAATTACAAAAGTTTAAACCATAATGTACAGTTTTGAAGGTGAATTTCGAAGAAAACCAGAACAAAATTATGCAGGTGCGAGTATTCATGAGCCTGTCAATAATTTAATTCAAAGAGCTCGCTATGAGAGGGAAAAAAGAGAAGTAAGATATGGTTATTGCTGTCAATATACTTAATTTTAATTTAATACTAAAAACATTTTTCCGAAAACAAATTAATATGTTAAATTAGGTATTTATTACACCTTTAACATAAATAAATTATTGTTTTGTAATATTTCAAAAACAATTCTTATTATCAAATATTAATGTTTCTCACATATACATTGTTAAAACTTATATATGTAACTAGAAAACATTTTCAGGGTGTTAAATTAATTTTTTTTCCTACCCTTAAAATGATTTTATATAATTCTTAACTTTTCATGGGAGACTAAGCCTCTCATAGTTCTATGTTTATGATAAGATATGCATAATGACATTCACTATTAAGTAAGCTTACTTAATATTACATAAATATAATCAATGTATATTAACACTTTTAAATAAATAATAAGATTACTTTTCTTTTGAAATTATAATTAGTTATGATAATTATGTTAATCTTTATATTTTATTTTTTAGGAAGCAAGACGTGAACAACAACGTATTATTAAAGTACAATCATGTGTTCGAAGTTATTTAACGAGAAAAAAGATAAAACATTGCTATCGAATTTTATTTGATAATCATGTATCTGAATTAAAAAAAACTCAGCCATCTGAGCAGTTATTAAGTGATCTTGTGAAGATTTTTGTTTTTTTTTATAGTAAAGAATTTGACTCACAGAGACTTGTAAGTTATGTTGTTTTTAATTTAATGAAGTAAAATGCTATGTTATATAAATAGGCCTATATAATTTTATCAAAAATATAAAACAACTTATTGTACATGTTTTGAGGTTTGGTTTCTTTTTGCTAAGATATAAATTTTTAAAAAGTTATATTATAAAATAAAAAAAGAGTATGTTATATACAAATAATAATAATAATAAACAATATGAAAAGTAAAATGACATTTACTATGTAAAAAGTAATTTATTTTAACTCTGTTTTTTTGTTATAGCATAATTTTATTTTATGCAATTTTTTGATCCCATAAAAAATTCTTTATTCAATTTTATAATTTCAAATTAACCATCATAATAGACTGTTTTAATTTTAACGATTTCCTTTTAAAATCAATACACTAGAATAATTAATTGACATTAAAATTATAAAAAAAAATTTTGTTAGTGTCATTGTGCCTAAGATAATTTGAACATTATTAAAATTTTGTTTATCAAAAAAAAATGTATAAACCATTTATCAATATAAAAAAACATATAGTTATTAGTAATATAAACTATTAGTATAAAACTGAATTAATATTTCCAGTTATGGTTATCTCAGCATATATTACGAAATAGTTCATCACTATTGAAATCAAGTTTAGATAAAAATAACTCATGGTATTGGCATATAAAATGGATTCTTTCATTAAATATTGATTTATTAAACTCAACTAATTTGGAATCATTTGCAACCTCTTTAAGAATAATTGAAGAATTAACTTCAATTGAATCTTATAAAAATTTACTTGGTAGTGATAATGCTCAAGTTGCTTTGCGAGATGTAAGTAACCTATGTTACGTAATAATAAAGAATTTAAGAAAATAAGACATTTTCAGTTCCATAATACAATTTTTAACTAATTTAATTAAGTAATAGAATTTACTTATAATTCATGATTTTATTGTCAGTGTCATTTTTTTATAAACTGTGTTCCATGAAACTACAAAATACTTATTGTTCATCAAAATCAATAGTTATTTTCATTGTTATAAAAAATATATTCTTTTCTCTTTTGAAAAAAAATTTAAATTAATTTTTTAGACATATTATGATTTTCTTTATGTAATTAAGTTAATATTTTTATACAAGAATATAACATTTGAATATTAAAATTAACTATTTTTTGTTAAAAAAGTAGATGAATTTTTAAGTTGAATGAAAAACTTTCACTTTGTTAATTTAATTTTAAAACAAAAATATATATATATATATATTCTTAATTTTTTAGTTATTCCAGTATTTGGTGAAAAAATGCTATTTTGATAGTTTACGTAAAATTCTTGACACAAAAATTCCTACGTTGTTTGATGTAGAAGATACGCCAGCTCCTCCATTAGCCAGAAGTATATTGGAATTTGTCAAACGACCATTTTCTGTTCGTTCTTTGACATTTTTGGATGAATACACGTACTTAATTAAGATATTTGTTTGAAACTTTATCTCAATTATTAACAGTTTTGGGAAATTACTCGTTACTATAATGTCATTACTTTACTAAAATAAAATCACATAATTTAATTAAATTTATAAAGTAATTTTAAGTTACTAACGTGTTACTTACTAAAAAATATTATTCATCCAAATAGAATAAAAATATTTTTATTGAAAAATAATTCAAGTGTCATTATAGTCCTTAAATTATTCTAATTCATTGTTTTATTTATATTTGAGAATCTTATACTTAGGTTGGAGTAAGAGTATAGCTAATAAAAATAATATTTGTGTTTCACCATCAGTGAGTATTTTAATGTCTTAATAACTTTCAAAATACTTGTCCAAAAGTTTTTTTAACCAGTCATTTTCTTAATTGTATCATTATCTATTAAATAAAATTGTTAATTATGTATGTTGTCATTTGAAAAAATAAAGTTGACACCCTTATAAAGTTTAAAGGATGAACATAAAAAATACTTCATGATTGATAAATAAAAAAAAAAATAATTAGTATATTATACATACTTAATAGATTTATAATACTCAAAAATTTAGGTATTGGTCTTTGTTAACATATAAAAAGTAATTTGAGGTGTAACACATTATTTTTTTTGTTAAGTAAAGTAACTGTTTATATTTTCAAATAAGTAACCAGTAATTATAATTTTATTACTTTTTAAAGTAAAATGCCCAAGACTGCCCTATAAAATAAATAAATAATAATAATAATTCTGAAATTTTTGTTTAGTTCAACTGTGATGGATCATTTTGTGAGGACATTTTTAAAAGGGCCAATTACTGATATAAACCATAAATTTATATTACCTAACTTATCACAAGAGCAAAATACAATTGATTATGTTGGACCAGATTTCAAACAATTAGTTATATTTCTTACAAATTCTCCTATTCAATATCAACCCAACACAAATTTATTTTATTCCTTATTAATTCTTGAACCTTATTTTGACAAGTATTCATTTGGTAAGTATTTTGAGTAATTATACATCATATATAGAGTATACTAGGCTTGATTAAACTAGTGAAATTACTTCTAATGAAAAATTATGTTTTTCAATTAATTTTTACTCAAGTGAACTTCAAAATTTGTGCCATAAATGATTTAATTTTTTTTTCTTTTAAATTTTAAGATAACCCTGATGTAAGCTGGCCTTGTTAATGTTGATGTTAATAAAATAATATGCACACAATGAACAAACAGGACAAGTGCATGGGCATTATGTCCACCTAGATAACAACTAATAAAATAATAAAAAATATATTCTTAAAATAAAAATTTAACTACTGTAGTACTTTAGAATAAAAACAATGTTAATAGTGTAATTAATGAAATGCATTATTTAAAAAAATAATTTGACCAAAATTCACTAGTTATTTAACTTGAAATACTTAGACAAAGTACTCTGTATAATGTGATTTGAAAATAATAAATTATATATTATTTGCAGTTATTAAGTGCTTGAAAACTGGAAGAGAAGTAAATGCAATCAATAACTACTTGGATATTTTATCATCATTAACTAGTTGTTTAGCAGAACCTCCAGTAATTGATTATTTGAACAAAGCTTGGAAACATAGTAGTGCAAACCAAGAAGATAGTTCAGAGGATGAATCAGATGAAGAAGAAAAACCATTTTGTGGTTACTTGGAGCATGAGCTTCAGGCAATAACATAATATTCTCTTTATTTAATATTTTATTTTACCTATTTAATATAAATTTATTCATCAGACAGATTTTAAAAATGTGTTCAGATCTTTTAAATGAATCATTTAGAGTAAATAGAATAGTTGATTCCATTGGTGAATCTTGTTCTTCATCGTCAATACAGTTTTTACTTGAACCTGTATGCAAACTATGCCATTATTTACTTATGTCGCATAAATTAGCTGTTCATAAATACAGGTAAATAAAAACATTATTTTGTGTATATTTAATACACAATTATAAAAAAAAAAAATGTATAGTAGTTTCCTTGATATAATAACTAATTATTAACATTTTATAAACAGCACTATTAAGTACAATCTTTCTTTTTTAATATAAATTTTTATTCCTGTAGATTGTTGTACACATTAGCTTTAAAAGCAGAGTTTCTACAAAATTTATGGAAAACTATTTTGACAACTGAACAGCAATCATTTTTTGGGCCTAGTTTAGTTACAACTAGCTTAGTAACTGTTATATCAAGAGGTACAAATTTGGCTTCTGGTGATTTTGACCGTATTGTACCACTATTAGCAACATTTTGTTCATTATTTAGTTCTTTAATATCTACTCTTCACGATGCAGAGTTTAATAAAGCTGTTAGAAAAAATTCTGGTATTCATTAAAAAAAAAAAAAAATTGTATAACATTTATTAAATCATAAAACGGTTTTTATAGAGGAAGGTACTCAAAATCCTTTAAAATTCACAGCAGCGGATCTTATTTCAATAACAGCCATTTTGAAAGATGTTGCTTTAGGTCTAATAGAATTAGCTTATCCTGATACAAGACCTACAATTATTACAACTAAATGTAATAATCGCAATACTCAAACTTCAATTTGGTCTCATTTATTAAGGGTAAACAATACTATAATAATTTTGTTTTACTTGTATACTTAATGAGTAAGTGAAAAAATAATAATATTGCTTGAAATTATATAATAGGTGTATAATGGAAAAAATGTTTTCTAATTTTAGTCACTACAAAGTTTATAAACATTATTAGATATATAAAAATGTTCTTCCTAATTATAATATAATATTGAAAATATTTACTCCAACTTGACCTAAATTTTTAATTTTATAAAAAAAATAGTATAGTTAAACAATTAAAATTTAGTATTCCATACAATTCCTATTAATTTTTATGAATTAAGACAACTTTTTGCTTAAATTGCTATAATTTATTTTGATATTATTTAGATTCTCATGAATCTAAGAGCTTTAAGATAGTTAAAACTATATTTATAATGAATGATCATATTTTTGTTAGGTAACAGTTGTCTTATTAAGACAACTTCATTCAAGAGATTTACGTTGTAGATTTTGCCCAGAAGGACATTGGGTTTCTAATCGTTTGACAATGAATTCTGCATATGATAAACCATCTAATATGCAATTTGTACAGTATTCTAGAAGGTCCCGATTAAATTATAGACCTTTTAGAGGAATTCCTGTTATATCAATGGACAATTTAGGTATTTCAATACTGAAAAAAAAACTCTTATATAAAATTTAATTTTTCTTTCATTACTTTAGATGAAGGTCCTCCTTTAACAACACGTCAAGTGCGTATTTTAACAGTTTTGAGAGAAATACCATTTGTTTTACCATTTGAAGAAAGAGTTGTAGTTTTTCAAGGCCTGTTATTAAATGATAAAATGCAATATCAAAATACTGATGCTCATTTCATGGCTGGACCAAATATTCACATTACTATAAGAAGAAATTATTTGTATGAAGATGCTTTTGAAAAATTATCAATTGAAAATGGTAATTGAGTTTTTAACAAAATATTTTGTGTTTTATTTATCATACTTAAAAATATTTCAGAACCAGAAATAAGACAAACACTGCGAGTACACATGAAAAGTGCAGCTGGATTAGATGAAGCTGGGGTAGATGGTGGAGGTTTATTAAGAGAATTTTTATCTGAGCTTCTTAAAACTGCTTTTGACCCTAATCGAGGATTTTTTCGAATGACAAATGACAACATGTTGTATCCAAATCCATATGTACATTTGATTCAACAAAATTTTGCTGCTCATTATTTTTTTATTGGGAGAATGCTAGGAAAAGTTAGTTGAAATAGTAAAAAAATAAGAATAAAAATATGGTAATCTTTTGATTTTTAGGCACTGTACGAAAACTTATTGGTAGAATTACCTTTAGCAGAATTTTTCTTGTCAAAAATTATTGGCCGTCAAACTGAAGTAGATGTTCATCATTTAGCATCTCTAGATCCTTTGATGTACAGAAATCTACTGTCATTAAAAAACTATGATGGTGATGTTGTAGATCTTGGTTTAGATTTTACCATTGTAATCGATGAGTTTGGTCAAACTCGTGTTGAAGATTTGAAACCGAATGGTGCCAATATTACTGTAACTAATCAAAATCGTATAGAATATATTCATTTAATGGCTGATTACAAACTAAATGTTCAAATAAGAAAACAATGTTACTTTTTTAAACAAGTAACAAATAACTGATAAAACATGTATTTATAAATTTATTTTAACACATCAAAATTCATTTTAGGGGTTAGCTAATGTAATTCCATTAGATTGGCTGCATATGTTTAGTAACCATGAAGTTCAAGTTTTGATATCTGGTGCTGAAGTTCCAGTAGATATAGAAGATTTAAAGTTACATACTAATTATGTAGGAGGGTACACACCCGAAGATCCTACCATACATTTATTTTGGTCAGTTGTGAATGATTTTACTGATGAGCAAAAAACAAAACTTTTGAAATTTGTAACTAGTTGTTCTCGTCCACCCCTTTTAGGTTTTAAAGTAAGTAAAATATTATTTTGAAAAAATTTCTTTGTTGTTTAATGAAGTTAAAGAAGTTTAGTATTTAGCATTATACTATTTTTATTATTTACTGAAATTAGAGAAAGACACCTAAGCTAAAATTACCTGAAATTTTTTTTTCAAGCTTTTATTTAAAGTCTGCTTTGAAGATTAAAGTTCATTAAATAATATAATTGAAAGTTTCAACTTATTAGTGCAATTACATTCTAAAAATTTTTTCACAAATTATATTGCTTTTATTTTTAGTGCAAAAATTATATATCTTGAAATTTTGCAGAGGTGTGGCCGAGTTGTTAACGCAGCAGTGTATGACGCGCACTGCCTCGGGTTCGAATCTCGGTCACGGGCGGCTTTATTTGTCGAACAAGAGATCAGTTCGGTAATTGGAGTCGCCACCCCTCTCTCCGGCGACGAACTAACTACCCGTCCCAGAGTATAAATGGTTAAGAAACCTCCTCCTTTGGGGAAGACCGCTATGGCCCTTAATGGGCTGATAAAGCAATAAAAAAAGAAATTTTGCTACATATTTTTTTAATATATGGCTTATTTTATAATTATCAAATAATTTGATTATTAATTTAAGGATATATATTAAATATTTCGTTAATTCTTTTATATTATTGCAGGAATTATATCCACCATTTTGTATTCAAAAAGTAAGCTCTTCTGACCGTTTACCAACTGCCAGCACTTGTATGAATCTTTTAAAAATGCCAGTATTCAAAGATTATGAAACACTGAAAAATAAACTTTTGTATGCAATACAATCTGGAGCCGGCTTTGAACTCAGTTAATGGAAATTTAATTTTATTAAAAGTTGATGTTAAAATTATTGTAAAAATAAAATTTAATGTGTAATAAATTTAATGTATACAAATTTTAAGAAGACTCAGTACTTAAAATTTTTATTTATTTTCTGAATATTCTAAAAATGTATTATGCTATATTTTATTAAATGTTACATTTTAGCATTTTAATATTAAATGGTATTCTAGACTTGTTTCTCTATATACTTTATTATTCAATAGTAATTGTACATAAAGTAAATAATATTTTATCAAATAAATTTAAAATATTATATACTTAATTTTATTAATATTTTATATTTTATTGAAAATATTCAAAGTCATTTTTTAAATTTAGTATCGAAGATTCAAAACTTAATGTAAAGGACTTGTTCAGTTCTAAAACTAATATTGAATTCTGTACGATTTTAACCATGAAAATTAGTATCCAACTCAATATTGATATATTTGAAAATAACAGATTTTTAAAAAGATACCCTTTATCAAAATATACTTTTTTTTATCTAAATTACAGATGTAGACAATAAAAGCTTTTTTATATTTTTCCGTGATCTATGGTTATTACCATGATTATAAATAAAACGTGGATTATAAATTGTGGTTTTTACTAATGACACAGATAAGATAAAACTTATCTGTTATATCTTATTTGGCTCATAATATAATTACGTGCATTGATATCAACTTTAAACGTTTAGTTTTATTGATAAAAGTTTTTTTAATAACAATATTAAATTTAACTGAAAATAAACACAATGAAATTAGACATTTTATGTATTTAGCATTATTTTTGCTTTATAACATTTCGAACTTCGAATTTTCATCAAAATGAGTAATATTTATATTCAAGAGCCTCCAACTTCCGGAAAAGTATGCACAATTTATTTCAATGTAAATTGTGTACATTTTTTTTGTTATTTAAAATTATAATTTTATGTTCTAAATTCTTATTGTAGCTGTAGGTATATGAAATAATATTTTATTTATTAATCATATATTGAACAAATTATTATCTAGGTTGTTCTAAAGACTACATTTGGTGATATTGAAGTAGAATTATGGTCTAGAGAGGCTCCTAAAGCGTGTAGAAATTTTGTTCAACTTTGCCTTGAAAATTACTATGACAATATATTGTTTCATAGGATTGTAAAGGGTTTTATTGCTCAAGGAGGTGACCCAACTGGCACTGGAGCTGGGGGTGAATCTATTTATGGACATCCATTCAAAGTAAGAAAAATTATGTTTTCATAATTTATTTAAAAACTAGTCCTTGTGCTAAGTCATTTATATAAAGGTAAAAATAAATTTAAGCCTAAAAAAATTATTTAATAAATAAAAATATATTTTTACTAACAAAATTTTTGATAACAATAATTTTAATTTTATTAAAATGATATGCTTATTTTTAAAAAAAAACTCTTATTTAGATAAGATTTTCTATTTTATGCTAAATAAGTAATTAATTGATTTTTGAAAAACTACATAATTTAGCTTGTTAGTATAGTTGACTTAAGTATCCTATCCTAATATTTTCAAAATTACAGGATGAAATACACTCACGTTTACGATTTAATCGTCGTGGATTGGTGGCAATGGCCAATGCTGGCAAGGATGATAATGGATCTCAATTTTTTTTTACATTAGGGTCCACACCAGAACTTCAATCAAAGCATACTATTTTTGGGAAAGTTGCTGGAGATACTATTTATAATTTAACTAAGCTAAATGATATTCTTGTAGATAAAGTAAGGATTTATAAAATAGCCAAATAATAAATTAAACTTAATAATAAGTCACTATAATTTTTATTTACAGGAAGATAAACCATTATATGAGCAAAAAATATTAAAAACAGTTGTTTTAAACAATCCTTTTTCTGATATTGTGCCTAGAGTTACTAAAAAAGTTGATAAAACTGACAAAGAATCAAAAAAAAAAAAAGTTGGTGTTAAGTAAGTTGAATTAACCAGTGAAAGTAATTAAATCACTATCAAAAAAGGCTTCTATATGAATGTTCTTACCTTAAGCTATAATTTTAATAAACAATTTTATAATAATTTAAAAGTAAAAAAAAACATTTTAAAATTTGCTAATTTTAAGAATTATTTACAAAATCTCGCTGACTTTAATGGTTTATACAGTGGTATATTTCCAAAAATTGTTTGGAGAAAGGGGATTAAAAATTTAGATTGGTATTGGTAGTAAATTAANTGTAATCAGTCACATGAGTAGTCTGACCACACTTACATAAAGATAATTTTATAACACACAAAAAATATTATTTTAACTATTTTTTTTTTTTGTAATAATTAAAAGTACAAAAAAAAAGTTAAATTTTAGATTATAAATAATTTTTGGATTTTAAGAACTATATTATTTTATTAACTTTTAAAAATTTTAAATCATAATATAAACTATAGAGAATGAACATTGGAGTTTTATGCTGTTTAATTATTATATTATTATTGAAGTAATAATTGACCGGTAAATTTTTTTTAGATATAATTGAATAGTCTATATAAAAATGTTAAGATTGAACACAATTTAAACTTGTGTAATACTTTGAAAGAACACTTAATTTATAAAATCGTATGAATATTTTAGAAATTTTAAACTTTTATCTTTTGGGGAAGAAGCTGAGGAAGATGAAGAAGAACTGGATGAAGTTGTAAAAGTATTTAGTGGACGTTCCAAATCTACTCATGATCTCCTTCAAGATCCACAACTTAGTGCAGAGCCAGCTATTCCAAAAGATATACTCCAAGAAGATATTTTATCTGAAGAGCAACCAAACAGGTTTTTATCAATGACCTTTTTAGTATCAAAAGTTTTTAGTATCAAGACTAGTTCTTAGTTAGGTAATGAAACATAAATTTATTAATGGTACACATTATACCTTGTATTTTTGGATAGTTAAATTCTTGGAAACACTAAAATTTATTTACAGTTCTTCGTCTTCTTTTTCCTCGCCTTTATCCTAACTACTTGGGTCCGGCAACCCTTATCCTAAACTTCCACCTGACACTATCTCCCACATCATTTACGTACATACCAGCCATCCTCATATCGTATACAATAACATCCCTCCATCTCTTTTTTTGTCTTCCTCTACTTCTTCTTCCCTCAACATTCATTTCCATAACTGTTATTACAACTTCTGAATCATCTTGACTCATAACATAACCAAACCATCTAAGTCTATTTTCACTTATCTTATCCACAATCCGTTCCTTATTGTATCTTCTGTAGTCACTCCATTCATTCATCTTATCTTTAAGAGCTGATCTCTATACAGCGAGCCTTTTACCAATTTCTTCCGATATGTTCATTCCTTATCCTATCTTCATCATCTAGTTATCCCACACTTTGATCGAAACATTCAAAATTTATTTACAATCAATAAAATAATGTAAAATTTTGCAGTAGGTCTATAAAGATAGTGATAGCTTTATAAATTATCTATGTATGCAAGGCATAAGACACCATAAAGAAAAAGATACAGGCATTATAAAAATATACAAAACTATAATTTTTTCACAATTTGAGCACTTTTTTTATTTGTCTAGTTTTTATTTAATATTAAGTTGTAAAAACTATTTTTTGATATAAGTAAAGAGTAAACTTTGAAAAATTCTAACTTTGTTTAAACTCTCATATCTGATAAAAAAAAAAAATTGGATTATTAAAAACTATTTATATAGAGATGTATATAATTTTATCTATTTAGTACTGTTCAGATCACCAGCTTCTGTTCTCTTCCGAGACATGTTATCTGATATTTTTTTAATTATACAGGTGATTTATCTATCATAAATTATATAATTAATCAAAAAAAACCCAGCACAGGGGGGTCGCGGCACAGTTGTGACGTGGTATAGTTGGATCAAGTATAATGATATCTGACAGTGATTAAAATCACTATCAAAAATAAACGCTTCGATGCAAATCTTTAGATAGTGTTTAATTTTAAAAAAATTGGTGTTTTATTCCAAAAGCTACTTGATTTGCTGGTTCCTTAATATCTCGATTAAGATAAAGTATGTCGAATGAAAAAGGGTTTATTGAAAAAAATTATTTCTCAAAATTGTGTGGATCCATAAACTTTTCAATAAGTTATAGCATTATAAAGTTAAATATAATATGAATAATAAAATCGAGAATTATCACACGAAAATAGCATTCGGTAGCCATTTTCGCCGCGAAGAAAAGTCCAGAGGTCAAATTTTTTTTTT